CATAGGGGTATTATTTCCTTCATCCACCAAATCTGCTCATAGCCACTCACTTGTGGCGGTTGCTGGGCTACTTCGCTTTCTCTCACCCTCCCCACCCATCGCGCTCTTCTTTCCTCCATTAGCACGCATCAGAACTTTTGTTTTGATTCTCTTTTCCCTTTTTTCCCCGCATGTCTTCATAAACCAAGGTATAGACTATCAAGTAAGGTCCTCATCAAGAAGACTCGCCTCTTGTTTTCTTTCTTTCTTTCTTTCTTTCCCTCCTCTGCTGGCTGGGGCCAGCAGAAGCTCAGCGCGTCCCTTCTCTAGATCAAAGGCAAGTCGCTATTCCCTCCGAGTCTTCCAGAGATCACATCACTGTCGTCGAGCATCCGCCTGCGTCGTGATACACGCATGTTAATGCCATCCTTCGGTTGATTAATAGTGAATAGTTCAGAACTTTCGCCTATCCAGTATAGCCAGACCCCAATCTTCGCCGCACAGTTGTTGCTGGTTCCGACTGAAATCTCAATACCATCGTGAGTCGCACTGTCAAAGGTCTATAGCATGAATGATTGCCTCATTTCTATTATCTCTCAGCTGACACGGTCTCATTGCAGTGGCCGCTAAACCGTCTCCCACGCACACTCCTGGAGTCTTGTTGTTACACCGGCCACAGCAACCATGAGTGACAGAGGGTATCAAGACCCTAGCAAAGTGTCAGATGCTAAGGCACTGCAACTGTTGTTCAAATCCAAATCCGGGGCCAAGGGTCAAAGCAACATCCCCAAGAAACGAGCAGGTCAGTACCTAGACTTTGACTCTCATCCTACTTAGGCTCGGGAAAGCCCAATCCTGAGTTGAGAAAAACTTCGCACCAAGCCCAACAAATCGTTTCGTTAACCAATTAGACTAACTTATTGTTTCAAGGCCCATCGATGCAAGCTGCGCGCCCAGCACCTGTAACCCCAAGCGGTTCTACTACTCCGTCAACAAAAGATCGGTTCTATACGCCGACCCTTCTACCTAACCCTCTTGATCGTAAAGCTGGAGCTATTCTGGGCTCGTCAGCTTCTGATTTCCTTGGTCGAAGAGATGCAACTCCCAAGCTGTCTTCCAATTTTGTCAAGGGTCAAGACCATAAGGTGGAGGCCGAGGTTCCATCCACTGCGTCCACTGTTCCTAAGGCAAAGGAGGTGTCATCCAGTCCCGCTCAGAAAGAAAGTGAGAAGCCTGTGGTCAAGCTTCCGTCTACTGCAGCCGTGATTCTGGAGGCTCCCAAGCCAGATTCCAATTTCATCCAGGGGCAGAGCGAGAAAGCTGGGGCTCACGCCACATCTACCAATCCTCCCACTGTTTCAAAGGCCCCTGAAAGAGTCAGCAATCTTGATCTCCTCTGTGGCTTGACCACTGATTCATGCCAAGCTTCTATCAATGCTTCGACAGCAGGAACGGCTGATCATCCCCAGACGCCAGCTCAGAATATCAATCCTTCTGGTAGAGAGTCGAAAAAGAAGAGTCTTTGGGAGCTATTCCAAAACCAAAAGTCAGACGATGAATCGGACGGCGGCGTTTCTGATTGCCAAGCGAAAGGGGTAGCTATACATGATTCCAGGACCGCCGAACCTTTGAAGTACTCACCTGACAAACTTTTGGAACTTAAGGTAAATGCAAAGATGGGTGTTCTCCCCCCTGACTGCATAGTCAAGCGTCGCAACAACAGCGGGAAAGCGGACATTGCTGCCGCATACAAATCGGCTGCCAGTTTCATTACTAATTCGACTCCCTCTGTATCTATATCTCAGGCTGAGATGACTGAGTCTACTGTTCTTCGTCCCGCTGCTCCGCAAACTTCCTCACAGCAGGCTAAGCTCGACTCTAATCAAACTCCTACTGTGACTAGAGGCGAACCTGCACAGGTCGAAGATCTTATTACCTTAGAGGAAGTTCAGATTGAGCTTAAGTCTGAGGCTGCAGAGAAGGTACCTGTAACTGCCTCTCTCGATCATCAACGCTGGATGTCTGGCCTTACGTATGATGATCTCGCTGATCTGCAAACTTCTTCGGAGCATACTAAGCTTGACTCTATTCAACCTCTCACAGAGGCCAAATCCGAATCTATGCAGGCCAAAGATCTCGTTGCCTTCAAGGAATTTCAAGGTCCACAAGAGTCTCACGGGCTTCGCCCGCAGGCACCTGGTTTTGTGCCCAGATTGCTGCATGCGCCGTCAGCCACTTCCATGCCTGCCCAGTATGCGACTCCAGCGGCAATTGATTTGGACGGTAATGAGGACACGCAGCAAGCCTCGACAAAGACATTTGGTTCTGCTGGCCTTATTATGGTCACCGCGACGCCTGTTGCCCATCTTTCCAATGGTCTCTTGATCACCGGCCCTCCTACCAGTCAACTCATGGCCAAGTCACCTTTCAATGACACCTTCTCGACCGAGCTGCCCCTGCGCACTGCTGACGACAATGAGGAGGTAGTTCGTGCCCCAAGAAAGCCTACTAAGGGCCTTGGTGCATCTATGTGGGCTAAGTAAGGGAAGCAAGGATATGGTATGCACAGGTTCCGGATAGGATTGTCGAAGGGCACAAGAACCGACGCGTCTCAACTGATGCTAGAGCGTCTAATTCTATGTAGCCATGTAAATCAAGCCCATAGTTGGTTTTTGATACCAGAAGACAGTAGAAAAATACACGTGAGTGTAAAACATATATTGGTTATCAATCCATGAACTACTCGATGATTCTTAAATAGGTGGGAATTGAATTCCAAAATTAAGTGCACAGCGCTGATGTATTCAGTCATCAAACCATCTACTCGGACATACCCTTCTCTAGTATCTTGACACCCTCTCTGACTTTAGGTGAGTAATGCTTCCTTAACAGTTCGCCCTCCCACACCGTTGCTGTAAACGGGTTGCTACCTTCAACACTATCGCTCACAGGATTATATCGACCATCTCCCTTGCGCTCCTCAGTATTCCATAGACTACGGACCTTCTTCGAGTGCGTGTGCGCTACGTCGCTGAGAAGAACCAAAACAGCCTGGCACGACTTGTCAGGGAGCTGAAGTGCTGCTGTCATGAGCTGCTTGGAAAAGGCGGCTAGTCGCATAGGTGGCACGGATCGAATGTTCCAGGGCGGAAGAAGAATACCCGTCAGTGCTCGGAGGAGAAGAACTGTTGTGGTCTGGACATTGATCTTGGTGGTTGCGTTGGTTGTGTTGGCGGGGCGTGTCAGCTCGACATCGGGGTTTGTTGAGAGTGTGAGAAGGGACTTAAAGAGATGTGTTGTAAAGAAGGCGAGGTCGAGATGAAGATCGTTGCGCGAGTTGTGAGCGTCTTGGCCTTCGAGCAGGGCGTATGCTGTAACGGTACACAGAAGAGCCTCGCGGGTTAGGTTGCGAATGGGGATATCATCATCGCCTTCTTCATCCTCATTACCCTCCTCATCACCGGGACCCTCAGTGGCATCTTCTTCGCTGTGTCGGATAAGATCCTTGAGTGCTTCCAACAGATCGCCAAAGAAATCCTGGTTGATGAGATGGGCGTACTTGGCAAGACCTTCAAGAACAGCACCCATAAGATGAGGCATGCGTAGCTTGAGAATACGGAAGTAGGTTGCAAACACAAGCTTGAGCGTCTCGGACTGCATACGATCACGCTCCTCGTGACTGACTGATGCATCAGCGTTGGCCATGTCCTTATCCAAAGCCTTCTGTTCCTTAAGCGCCTTTCGATGCCGCTTGGTTCTAAATTCCTTCTTTTTCCTCTTGAGTGTTGCATCATCATTCTCGACATGGTCTCTGGATGCCTTACCCGAGAATTCGGAGAGGAGACGCAGGCTTAGGAAGAGGTTCACGACACTCTCATCGACCTGGAACTCGCGAGCCTTCATCATCTTGGAAAGTAAAGCCACCGCATCATTTGTCGGCCGCCCTTCTTCATCCTCCTTGAAAAGCGTCTGAAGGGCCTCTAAACACTTGACGCCATCTTGATTAATCTTGCGCCGGCTGAGCTTCGTAACAAGAATCTTGAGCAAATCTATGCGGAAGTTGAAGTGTGGAACCGATGTGACGAGAGTGCAGGCACAAGTGATAGCGATGGTAGCCAAACTCTGCCCGCCCTTTGCAGCCCTGACCTCAAGCTTGGAGCATCGAGCAAGCTCCTTGATGTAGTTCTGATATCCAGAAACGAGAGCTTGTTCATACTGTCGCAGTGTGCGCACTTCCTTGGATAGCTTTTCTTTGGGTCCGTTGTCAGTCTGGGGACGTATACGGTATCCAGGAATAACATCCTTATAGACAGACATTTGGGTCATGAGGGCAAGCATCTGGATGACAATAATCTTAGATTGTCCGATCTTGGCGAGGGCCTTGAATGCGCCGACGTGTTCCTCTGGGTTCTCGTTCATTTGCATAGCAATCTTTGCTAGCTCTTCCTGTGCTGCGAGAATCTGCTGAGGCTCTGGGATCTCAGGCTCCTTTTCTTCTTCCTCTTCCTCCTCAGGCTCCTCCTCCGCTTCATCCTGGCGGCCTTCTAGCCATTCAGTGTCGCTCTCAATTGACGCCGTCTCATCGTCTTGACCTTCAGCTTGCTCAATTCGACCATCGGCTGTCTTGATGGGGAGCCTGTTGCTCTCTTTTTGCTTCTTGCCTTTGCGTGGGCGCGTCTCATAGTCTTGTTCGAGATTCCAATTTGAAGCGTTCTTAAAGAAAGACTTCTGAGCGCTTCTTGAGTCATTCTGATCCTGAGTCTCATGATCGGCAGAATCATGAGCGATCTTTCTTCGCTTTGTGCCGTTTTGTGCCATTTTTCTGTATTCTTTCCAGTTTATGGCACGAGATAAATACGCCTCCTGAAGGTTTTGTCGTCTTCTGTCTTGTCGATTTCTGCGAAAGTCGACAAGGTCTTGTGGGGCCGACAAGAAATCGCACTCACTGATTGGACGAGATGATCACTCACCGCCAAAAAGTTGGACTTTTCTGCCGGGCAGAAATGCCCCTCTACCAAATTATTTCCCAGCCGCAGTGTTTCTACCGTGTCTGCTACTCAACTCGATCTACTCCGTCAAATCGCCACAAATGGGTTTCACAAAGCCGCCTGTTCAGGCGCTCAAGTCTTCCAATAGGCTCAAACGAAAGGAGCTCTTCGTCCAGTACAAGAAGCACCAGAACAAGGAGAGACATGAGGAACGACACCGCCGCCGTAGGGAAGAAGCAAAGGACCCCGAGCTCAAGGCAGCCCGGCTAGCTAAGCGCAAACCTGCAACGATCGACTCAAAGCGAGTATGGGATGATATCGACGATGACAGTCTTGGTGTGCAGGTGGACCTCGAGAAACTAAAGCGCCGCCGCATTGAAGAGGCTGAAGCAGCTGAACAGGCGGCTCATGAGGCTGCTATGCGCGCTGAGGAAGAGCTGGACGAGGATGATGATGTTGACAGTATGTTGGCTTCGGATGAGGAGATGGACGAAGAGCGACAGGCTGCACTGGAAAAGAAGCGTCAACGCCGTGCACAGCGAGATAACAGTGTTGCCCCATCCACAACAAGCACAAACCTTGACTTGACGCCAACATCACTGGCCCTAAAGTTTCCGTCTCTTTTCACCGACATACCGGCTCCTGAGCCCAAGATTCTGGTCACAACGTCCATCAACTCTACTCTCCACGAACAGGCCCATGTTCTCTGCGAGTTCTTCCCCAACAGCTCTTACGTCCCCCGGTCGGCCCATCGGTACGGCCATAAGTATTCGCTCCGAGAGATCTGCAAGTACGCCTCAAATCGAGAGCACACAGCTGTAATTCTCCTTAAGGAGGACTCCAAAAAACCTACAGGTCTCACGGTTGTACACCTTCCTTCCGGCCCGACTTTTCATTTCTCCATCACAAATTGGATCGAAGGCAAAAAGCTCCCAGGCCATGGAAACCCAACAAATCACTACCCTGAACTGCTTCTTAACAATTTCAAGACACCACTTGGCCTGTTGACAGCCAAGCTGTTTATGACCTTATTTCCCCCTAAGCCCGAGTTCCAAGGTCGCCAAGTCACTACGCTCCACAACCAGCGAGATTATATCTTTGTGCGACGACATCGTTACGTTTTCCGAGAAAAGCGACAGACAGAAAAGAGCATCGTCGGTGCCGATGGAAAGGAGGTTAAGGGTGTGGAGGGCATCCGCGCTGGCCTCCAGGAGCTTGGTCCCCGCTTCACCCTCAAGTTGAGGAGAGTTGACAAGGGTATTGGAAGAGCTGGAAGTGAGGGTGATGATGCGGCACAGTGGGAGTGGAAGGCCAAGATGGAGAAGGATCGCAAGAGGTTCAACCTATAATTGTTTCTCTAATAGTGGGTTGGTAGTCATGGCGCTTGGCGTTCTTGAACTTGAGCCGGCAATACAATACAATACAGTACAGTACAAAGATAACGAAGACATTTCATTTCAAGCTCCTGACCGCTGCCATTCCTTTTTCCTGCCCAATTTTGTGTAGCATGTTCTTTAACCCAAAAATTCAAGAAGAGGCGCATAGGTGAGTGGCATGATCAATGAGGTGTCGCTTCGTATCAAGTGACTTCACTGTGTCCTGTTCATGATATCTTGATTTCGTGGAAGGCCTAGGGGAGTACTGCTTCCCTTACCTTACCTTAGGTACTAAGGTGGCAATACCCGTGTACGATACAAGTGCTCTCGCGGAAGTAGCATTCAAGGAAAACACTTTGACGAGTGCATTGCCTATTAAGGAGACAGTTGCTCAATGTTTGACGATGGTCGGTAGTGACCTCCGAGGTAGTAAGGACAGTGGTTTCCATATCTCAAGACCTAGTAGGTACTTTCTAACCCAGATGCTATTTTTTCGAAATAAAACAGCACTCATGAATCTGCTCAATACAGGTAATTACCTAACCTAAGGACCGTCTTAAGTATAGGTAAGAGTCTTCTCCTTCATCAACAACTCACAGAGTACTATCATCGTTCATGATCACTTGCTTATCATCACTCCAAGCAGCATTTCTCTTCGTTTCTATCTTCACAATCAGTTTCACTAAACAGACAAAATGGCATCCGTCGACCCGCCCTACCCGCGGTTCAGGATGTTCTTTTTCTTCACCAAGAGGATTATATGCGAAGACCCGCCCGCGATGCGGGACCTGTTCGATGAGGATCACATCATCTTCCTTGCAGGGTTAAGTTTATCTGGGTGTTACATCCGCATCCAGCTCAGGACGTTCTTCCTCCTTATCAAGAAACTTGTACGCGGACCTATGGACGAGCTACAGGCAGATTACGAAGACTACATACGAAGTCGCTCGCAACATCCTGTTGAATTCCAGAATGTGACCAATGATTCTGCAGGTAAAAGCCCAGAATTCCTTCTCACGGCTATGATTCTCAAGGTGACCAACAAGGTAAAAGAGCATATATTGGATCAAATGCCAACTCCCATGCCTTCACCTCCAGCCCCTCTGAGAGATGCCGATTCTATAACTGCCACACCCGCCGGCTCCCCCGCAGTGCCTCAAGGAGCTGAAGATAGGGCTTCTGCATGAGTTCATACCCTCCCATGATCCGAGCAACACACGCTTCCCAACCTCGGGAATTCATGGGCTTTAAATACATATCTATTATCATGGGTGTGAATTATAAGCTTCTAGACTCGTGAAGATGGGCAAAGAAGCATTTCTTCCATGGGCAATAGATATGGCTACCTTAGGTAGGTAATTGAGTGCTCCAGGTTATGTTCTTGCCATTGGCTGAGCATGTCTACTTCTCAAGGTGATTTACCTAGCCTCACGTTCCTTCGCAGCACGATATTATGAATGTTTATTCTGGCTGAGCCTATAAATGAATGGGCACCAGGGTTGAAAGCCGGAAGTCATGTCCCTGGGCAGTGGACGGTAGAAAGTCCTGGCCATGAGTATCAAAACGGTTATACGGATATAAGGAGGCGCTTTAGTCTTCAGACCCTGCTCTTCGACTATGCGCTTGAGAACTAACTGGTCAGGATGTCAATCGAGCCCATCCCTTAAAGTCCACGAATGGCGTGGACTCGGAGTGGGAGCCTTGACCCTGGTTGACGTAGCCCTTTCAGGATATCATATCCGTGATCAGGTCGAAGTCTTGACGATGATAGATGCTCCACTGCCACAGTGCATCAAGTCACTTTGGGATTATTGGTGAGGGGAAATCATTCGATATGCTGGTAGTTGCGGGAATATAAGAATATCGCATATCGTTGGGAACGATGTTGATAAAGCGGAAGATCTCTCCCGACCATCGTTACAGAAGCAAGGGTTAAGCGGAGAGTCGAAAGCCACGCTCTGCTCATGATGGTTAATAACGGACTTCAAAAGAAGTAGAGGGGGAAGCCCAACGATGCAAGTCCACTTCAAGAGGGATCGAATCCTCTCTTTTCCCCAATGTATAACAGACCTCAAGTTAGAGGACATTAGCGCCCCGTCGATGGTCAATACAGTCATTTATGTTCAAAGCGTGACTGCTGTCTGTTCGAGGACGCAAGTAACGTTACTTTGTGTGATCACCTAATTATCCCGAAGCAGTGCACCTATCGTGGTAAAGGCACAGCTAATGATGCTTGCCCGAAAGCTGGATAGGAATCGTTGAGGTTGTGGAGCGATATTAGCTAGATTAGTAGGTAGTGAGGGAGCCATTAATTGAAGCGAGCTTGTTGACATTCAATAAGCTTGGCTTTAAGTGAAGTGTTTACATCCATACATCTGCGGGTCTACCGTCGAAAAACGGTGATAGAACGTTAATCGTCCTTCCCTTCGCTTGACAGGCAAAAAACAGCAAATGAGGAACAACAGGGAACCAAAGTATATAAACAGAACAACTGGGGTCTTGGAGAACATCCAATATAGTCATGGGATCTTGAGTAAGATCGGCATGCATCTTTGTGTTTGCAACTCCCTTGTCAACCGGCGACCTCCCATATCACAACATTTTTAGGACTTGAGCTGTGGCGCAACGTTCCTTTCCAGGAACCAGCGCCACATCTCATCAGTGGTTTGACTCAATTAGTGAGGTGGCGTTACAAGTTTAACTGTGCTGCATTGGACAAACCACGCTAGAATTCAACGTCTCTTCGTGTTCTGTGTGATTTGCCCCTTTAACTCGATTTAGTTGCTGAAAACTATTAACGAAAAACCTCAACAGTGCTACACAAGATAACTTATTCGTATTCTAGACCAAATCTCTTTGTCAAAGATCTCCCTTCATTGCTTCTGAGCCGAGGGATTGCCCCTTACATATCCCCTGTCCCTGTCTACCCATGACCCATCACCCGCGGGTGGTTTGCGACAATTAAAATCCTGGCTGTTCATGACGCAGGCAAATTTGTCTGCATAACAGCAGAGACTCTGCCATCAAAGTCAAAGTCAATGCTCTGATACACCCTGCTTCAAATAGGCAGACTCAAATATCCTACGACGAATATGACGGCCTCCTCTGATCAACCGCGAACTAACGGTGACGCCAGTGGTAAGCCACCCAACTTGACATCTCGTCATCCGAGCAAGCTATATAAGCGAATGGTCGAGCTATAGACTAACCGATATATCTAGTTGGGATAAATAACCACAGCAAACAAAGCGACATATGGAAGCATGCCCCTGTGCTCATTGGCACAACCAAATTTGAGCCTCGCTCCGATGTTAAAAACATGATGATTACAGGCGGCGCTGGCTTCATGTGAGTGACGTCCTGCAACGCCAAGCTCTGCTCCACTGACGGTTTATTTCAAGCGCTTGCTGGGTCGTCCGCCATCTCACTTTGACATATCCACATGCCTATAACATTGTCTCATTCGACAAGCTAGACTACTGCGCTGCTCTCAACAACACAGGCGTCCTAAGTGAATCCTCCAACTTTACCTTCTATCATGGCGATATCACCAATCCAGCTGAGGTCGTTGACTGTATGGAGCGATACAATATTGATACAGTTCTACACTTTGCCGCCCAGTCACATGTGGACCTGAGCTTTGGCAACTCTTATGGCTTTACACACACAAACGTCTACGGAACTCATGTTCTCCTTGAAAGCGCCAAGAAGGTTGGCATTGGCCGCTTCATTCATGTATCGACTGATGAAGTATACGGTGAAGTTAAAGAAGACGACGACGACCTTCTTGAGACGAGCATATTGGCTCCCACAAATCCATATGCTGCCAGCAAGGCGGCAGCTGAGATGTTAGTGCAGTCTTACCAGAAGAGTTTCAAATTACCTGCCATCATTGTGCGGAGTAACAACGTATACGGTCCTCATCAATATCCGGAGAGTGAGTCAGAAAGCTGCTTGTTGCATGATGCATGCCTAAGATTCTAACCGTTCTTAGAAATTATCCCCAAGTTTACATGTCTTCTTAACCGTCAGCGGCCACTGGTTCTGCACGGAGACGGCACGCCTACCCGGCGATATCTCTACGCTGGCGACGCAGCTGATGCGTTTGACACGATTCTCCACAAAGGTCAAATTGGCCAGATTTACAACGTCGGTTCACAAGACGAAGTATCCAATCTAGAGCTCTGCGGGATGCTGCTCGACCGAATGAGGATACCACACGATACCCCGGAGCAGCTCCGCAAGTGGATCAAGTACACTCGGGACAGACCCTTTAATGACCGTCGGTATGCAGTTGATGGCACCAAACTAAAGAGGCTTGGTTGGGAACAGAAAGTGTCGATTGATGAGGGCCTCAAGATTACAGTCGATTGGTTCACGCAGTTCGGAGAGACTTGGTGGGGAGACATCAGCCATGTTCTCACGCCGTTTCCTACGGTGAGCGACGGCGAGATGGTTCCGGATGATGCGCGATCAATGCGCGATGAACCACTTGAGTCCCAAGACATACGACAGGGCAAGCTGCCGGAACAGCACAAAAAGGATGATATGAGTGGTGGTTGTCGAGAAACACAACAGAACGGTGAGGATACAAGTGGGCTACATCAAAATAACGGCGGCGGTTATCAAATTACCACTTAACGAACAGCCATTCTTTTTGCGGGACTTATTCCTTTTTAAATGCATTTTGACAATAGAACAGACAGAAGATCAAAGACATAGATACCACTTACAAGGGGGCTGATGACTAGACGAAGTCCGGAAGCTGGGGCTGCAAATTCAATCACTTAGATTGAAAGAATCTTGAATATATACCTAATTTATCGGGAATACATGCTTGTGCGTCTACCGTATGGGTTAGACCACGTAGCAATCAAGATGACGGCAACAACTATCGCTGGCTTATCTGTAAGTCAAGCTGGACACCATGGCATTGGCTTACTATCATCAGCTTTGAGAACAACTCAACTCTGGATCATCAAAGCTCTCTCAGCAACCAATAAGCTCCCCTTGTAACTGCAGGAACACAATCAGGACAAAATGCAACAATGCGTGTCCAATGGCCACAATTAATGACGCGTTCTCCTGCATGATGCATCACCAACTGGGGCAGGCAAAAAGAAAAATCAAGCCAAAATTCAGGGGGTATCTTCCCAAAGGCCCGGTATCATATGCAAATGCAGAGACAACGCCAACACACAGACGCAGACGCAAACGCAGTCTCGGACAGACACCAAGTCCAAGCCAGCGGGTCGGGGAGAGGCTAAACTCCGCGGCGCCGGGCCGACAGTCTAATGCGTCCCGGGAAACTCTGACAGCGCATAACAAGAGGCAACAGTTTGTGTGATACGTGGTGAAGTTCTTTCACTCTACGGAGTCTCCAGCGAATGGGATCACGGCGGGACGATCCTAGACTGGGGAGGGTTTGACTTTTTTTTTTGTCGATGCCCAATGTGAACCGACCTGCCGGATAAGGGACAAGGGAAAGGTTATCCGGGGGTGAGGATTTTTAGTTGTTTTTGCATCATACTATTTTTTTTAACTGCCGAAATGTTGATAGGCAGACATGTACTAGACTATGAACTATGCGGAGAGCAGGAAGAGTTTCCAATTGGAATCACTGACATTTGGGTTGCACTAAAGAATTTGACATGGCGGGAGGGCTTTGATTAATTGCCTCTAACTTGTTAACTTGGGGCTTGGGTCAAAGGGTAGAGGGGACGGGCCGCTTCAAGATGTGAGACCTAGACACTGACTAGAATTTGATGAGTCGACGATTGATAAGTGAGTTGCAGTAGGAACAAGTCTATCCGTACATACGACAACGGCGAGGCCATCCTTGTCGTATCAGTACCCAATTCCGCATGTAATAGTAGAAGCCAACTTCATCGACCGTTTTTTTCTCTCCGACGATGTGGAGATATGTAACTTACACCCATGACACAAGGAAGACGGGGGTAACCGTAGTCAAAGAGTCTTCGCTCTTTTGAGTAACAACAATGCCGATACATGAGTGACAAACAATTATGCTTAACGCGAAATCTCTATTGTCGTATTGCCTTTTCTTGGCATGCGATAACAGGATTCCAGCTCGACAAAGGCACAAGGTAAGAACAGAACTATCGGACTTACAGTAAACATCGACTCATGAAAAGACCCGCATGGACGCTTATCTGAATCAGGTTTAAGTCTTGTCTGGATTGTGAACCCTGTGCATCCCCTGCTGTTGCACTGCTCCACTGCCGTGGGATGATGGACCAGGAGCCAGGTTCCCTGAGGGGGGGAACTCTCAGCACCCCGAAGAGAGCAAGTTTCTGTGTTGCTCATTGCTTGTCAGAGCCTAGATTGGGCTGGAACTTGCCGTGGTGCTTCTGAGTACTTCCATGTGGTGACACTCCTGATGAGAATACCTAATCCACGCCTTCTTGTGAGATGAGGTCGTACAGATACTACCTATGTTAACCGGTTGAGAAATAGGTAGGCACGGATATCCGTATACCATGGACCTTCAATAGTGCACAGAGGCTTAGGGCCCAGGCCTTCCTCTTCTAACCCCCCCGGTAGCCGAGGCCGTTTGACAAGCAGAGCCAAGCAGCCAAGCTCACCGGAGCAACATCAATCCGAGAGCAGGTGCAGAAACATCCATGGAGTGAGGAGTCCGTGTTTAGGATATATGCGGCGGGTTAAAGGGCCAGGTACGCTTAGAGTGCCGGGAGCTGAGGAATGGATAAACCTCCACCTTGACCGTCGAATCGCATAAACGGACAGTAATGGAAAAACGGCCGTCAGAAGGATACAACGTTTCATGATTTATGTTCTCTTTGAGTTAAGGATACGGATATACTTCGCAGGGTTGCCACGGCCTTCCGTTACCAGTATTGCCAAGCTCAAGAAGTTCATAGAGCATGGGGTTACGGTTAGTATATTTGGATTTGATCTGAACCAACAGGGTATAAGTGCTGTATTGTTGCTGCACTGCATATGAATGGACAATGAGACGGCCTCGTCGCTGCCTACTCTATACATATAATATCTAACCAAATTTTACAACTCTTCAACTTCAACTTCAACTTCAACTTCGACACCTTCTTCTCTACGCACTACATAGAGTTGACAACTTAGCCTAGGTAGCCAGTCCCTTGTCAGGAAACAGCTAGCGTCTACCACCGTCAATCCAAGAGACTTGTCGTCTAACCACAAACGTTGTCAACCGACCGGCATATCCTTGTCTCTCAGAAGCAACGCAGTGGCAGCACCAGAGGCAGAAACCCCCCTTGCACCCGATCCTTGGATCTCTCTCTTTTCCTCCACTTTTGTTCAGTTCTGTCTGTTCATCAGGAAAAGAAAATCCTCGGGTTGGTTTTGTTTCTGTTTCTGTTCTGTCTTTCAACCCAACGACAGTACTAATTACTAGCTCTGACTCTAGCGTGTTCCCCGGCTTTTCCTCTCTGTCGGTGACTCAACCAGTCAACTCATCTCTTTCCTCTTCCTACCTACTTCAGACTATTCGTAAACTGACCATATACAATTTGTCTGCCTTTTTCTACGGATCCCTTCCGGTTCCCTCAGACCCTTGTCCACGTTTCTTGGTCTGTGCTCACGGGCCTTTACCAATCCCCAGGTCTTCTTCCTTCTTGAGGTCTTGGATCCTCCTCCACTCTACTTCACGAATACATATCTCGTCTTTCATCCATAATTGCTTTGTTTGTGCTTTGACGGCTGCTACTGCCGCTCGGGTTTCTTTTGGCCCTCGTACGGACGGTGTTCAGACAAAGACTGCAACCTCGCTCTCGCGAGTAAACCCGAACCTAACTAATCCGGTTTCTTCGCCTCAACCTCTTATCCACACAAGTCTTCGACCATTCTCCGTCATCGCGACAGCAACAACGAATCATACCTGGGCCCGAACTTTGTCGCCCGCGCCGCTCGTTTCAGCCTCATTCCCCGATCTCAAGCCATGTCGTTAGCCAATATCGCATCCATTCATTTATCATAGTTGTCATTATCCTTCTCCTCTCTCTAGACACCCATGGCCAAAAAGCGGAGGACCAAGCAACGCAAAAGTACACGGGGACGTCACAACCAGTCTCAGACGAGCACAATGTCCTCGGAGGACTCGTACGCTGTACAGAGCGGCCGACAATCTAGCGACGGTACACCGAGTGAGCATGCCAATAGCGACGGAAATAACACAGCCATGACCAGTATCATGGGTACCGATGAGGAGCATCACCACGATGAATCCGACCTCGATGAAGATGTCGACGAAGACGACATGATATCCATATATCCCGCTTCTCAATACCCCAGGGTCTCTGCTTCACACCGTGTAGAGACCCCATTCTCTCCAGATTCCCATGCGGTAGACTCAGACATGTAAGCGACATCTTGTGCTACATTTCTTGCCATGACTAACATATGCTAGGGCTGCATCGACACGATCGTTGTGGGCGCAAGACCTTGACTACCGAGAAATCCACGGCCGGCGCTACTGTCGCGAATATTATATGCCAAACGACGACATCGAACAATGGAGAATGTCTCTTCAACACCAAGTATTTATGCACGTCCTCGACGGTGAACTCACTCTTGTCCCTCTGCAAAACCCCGAGCATATTCTCGATATTGGCACGGGAACAGGTGAATGGGCAATCAAAATGGCCGAGTTGCAACCCCAGTGTGAAGTTGTCGGAACCGATATCGCTGCGATAGCCGAGACTAAAAGCGTGCCCATGAACGTCTTCTTCGAAATTGAAGACGCTGAGGATTGGGATCGCCACCCCGATATGTACGACCTGATTCACTTCCGGCTCATGGAGGGCGCATTTCGGAATTGGAGCTTCGTCTACGACAATACGTTCTTTTCTCTCAAGCCTGGTGGTTGGATTGAGGTTCAAGACTTTGTGAGCGCGGAGGGCTTTACACAATTCTTATCACAGTTCCCCGACAACTCTGCCATGCACGAACTCCTTCGAGACCTCTTGATCGCTTCGGAAAAGTCGGGGCGCCCACGAGGAACATATCATCTCGAGCCACGGCTGCTCATGGAGGCAGGCTTTGTCGACGTGCGGGTTACGGAATACTCTATTCCTATTACCGTTGCCGAGGCATCTGCGGGCAAGATCTGGCTTATTTCGTGTCTAGACAGCTTCGAGGCACATTGCTTGCGTTTGTTGACAGAGTACATGGACTGGGACCCTGAAAAGTGCAAACAGGCTTGTGAAGCTGCTGCCCGAGACTTGGCAAACGCAGCCAAGGACCCGGAGAAGTCGAAGGGTCTTCAGATCAAGATGCGCATTATCATTGGCAGAAAGCCCCTCGATGCGCCGCCCACAGATCTTGCAGAATTTCTCGGGAGGAGTTACTCGCCAGTAACAGAACTGAACGGCAACAGTCCTGATCCTACGCTCCGTCCAGATGACCAAACAACTGCAGGTCTAAGCTGAGGCGGTGGTGTCAACTCGGGTTACGACGAGGGCACGAAGAAGCTTAATTCTTGTGCGGCTCGGCGGCTTTGCTTTGTGTGCGATGGGGTTTGGCGCAGACTTTTGTTTTGGGCCGGCGTTGTGAACGGATGACGACTCATTTTTTCTTCTTCTAAACATTTATCTGTACATTCTTCAGCATTCGATCTAGGGATTGGTTATCCTTTGAAGATACTCATGGACGGCGCTCTGGTGTACACAAGACTTGTTCGTCTGATAGCTATTGAGAGCTATAGGCATGACGAGTTATGTAAAAGACACTTGGATTGGTTAGACAGACATATGGAGAATATGTGTATCAGTGCACTGACAATAGAATCTTTTTAGAGTCCAAACTTATGCCACCTCTGATTCATTGAGCATTCCATTAAAACTGTGTAGTTACAACCCAGGTGATGCTGATCCAATAACGAAAGCGTGGTGATGTAATATTTCGGGCGTGTGTTTTGCTAGGAGCTGGAGCTAAATAGCTGCCTTAGCCCCCGACAGGAGATACCTACCCGGCCCCAGGTGGGGACCTGGAGCTGTCCAACCACCGACTTCGTCACCGTCAACACCAACTCTCACTCATTCCCATCAACCAGCTTCAGCGAGCCGAGCCAACCTCTACAGCCCCCCTGTTTATCGAGTTCAATTTAGGCGTCTAGCAGTGCGCAAGACGCATAACTACCCTCCACGCCCCCGACCGCCGAATATGCGCCTGTGAGACCGCGACAATATGGCCCTGGATCTCCAAGATGGCTTCGTCGCCGCCAATGGCGTCCCAGACCTCGAAGAACCTATTTTCACCATAGAGCGCGTTCAGTTACAGTTCTCAGTAGCGGCCGACTTTGTTGCTGCGCAGGTTGCCAACAACGTCATCGTCCTCGCCCTTTCCAATGGACGCATTCTCCGTATTGACCTGGAACGACCCGAGGATATTGACGGTGAGCAGTTAAGCGATGTATCGTGCGGCTAGTCATGGTGACTGATATCGCAATGTATAGATATCGACCTTCCCAAAAAGCCATCCGAGATTGGCATGATACGGTGCATGTTCCTCGACCCTACAGCATCACATCTAATTGTTTGCACTGCGCTTGGCGAGAATTATTACCTCCACTCCCAGTCAAAACATCCTCGGCCACTTGGGCGTCTCCGAGGAGTTTCGATTGAGAGTGTGGCATGGAACCCTTCGTTACCGACAGCGTCGACACGCGAGATATTGATTGGTGCATCCGACGGCAACATTTATGAGGCCTTCATTGAGACGTCAAAGGAGTTTTACAAGAAGGAGGTGAAGCACTTAAAGAATCTACATAAACTTCCTGACGGACCAATTACGGGATTATGGGTGGACAATCTCCAGAATAACAAGTCAGACCTTCGACGGGTTGTGATAGCTACTCAGACACGCTTGTTTCACCTAGTCGGAAGGATAGGGTTTGGGCATGATGGTTCAGGGTCTGTATACACCCGATTGTTCGAGTCAGAGCAGCCTGTTGTTCATGAACTGTCCCGGACGACCTCAGGAGCACCTTCGAGTCTAGCGGTGTCCCCAGACCCCCCGGATTCTGGACCATACGATGACGACATTCCTGATAGAGCATATGCATGGCTATCGTACCAAGGCGTGTTCCACGGTAAACTATTGAACCAGCCTGTAGACAGCAACCTCGGGACCAAGGTCTTTTCAGAATCACATATGCTTTCTAGAGCTCAGATCCTTTCCCCTGAGAATAGCGAAAGACGAGTCCCGACAACCGAGGCAATCGATGCAATCGCACTCACACAATGGCATATTGTCCACCTGGTCGGAGGTCGTGTCATTACAACGAACCGCCTCACCGGAAAGATGGTGTCTGAGCATGATGTTATCGGTCAGGGACAGAAGCCTCTCGGGTTCTCCGTGGATATCCAAAAGAACACATTTTGGCTATTTACGTCAGATGAGATATTCGAGATTGTGGTTCGAGATGAGGAGCGCAACATCTGGGAGATTATGACAAAACTGAAAGAGTTTGAGCCAGCTCTGCAACATGCTCGAACACCGCTTCAAAAGGAAACAGTCGCGGCTGCATACGGTGATCACTTGGCCAAAAATGGACACTGGCTCGAGGCTGCTACTGTCTATGGCCGCAGCAACAAGCCTTTTGAAGATATTGCACTGAGCATAATCGACAATAATCAACCAGATGCCTTGAGAAAGTTCTTACTGACGAAATTAGCTTCGCTCAAGAAATCAGCAGTGATGCAGCGGATGATGATCGCGGGATGGTTGATCGAGGTCTTTATGTCCAAACTCAACACGCTGGATGATACCATAAACACACAAGCTGAGCCATCGGAGCACCTCAACTCGACTGAATCACGAAAGCTACTCGAGTCTGTGAGGAAAGAATTTAGAGATTTTGTCGACAAGTATAAAAACGACCTCGACCGGAAAATGGTCTACGATGTCATCAGCAGCCACGGCCGTGAGGGAGAACTTTTATATTTTGCCAATGCGGTTAATGACTACAACTACGTTCTCTCTTACTGGGTACAGCGAGAGAGATGGAATGAGGTCCTGAATGTTCTCAAGAAACAGACGGATCCTGAAGTCTTTTACCGATATAGCAGCGTACTTATGACATATGTAGCGCCGGAGTTAGTTGAGATTTTGATGAGGCATGCTGACCTGAAGCCTCGAAATCTCATACCAGCCTTTCTCGAGTACAACCGTACATTCTCGGGAGGTCCCAATGCACAAAACCAAGCTATCAGATACCTCAACTATGCGGTTTACCAGCTAAACTCGAAAGATGCTGCTGTGCACAACACTCTCGTCTCGATTTACGCTTCTCACTCCTCCAAGGATGAATCGGGACTTTTATCCTACCTACAAGCACAAGGTGATGAGCCGCGTTACGACCCAGATTTCGCCCTTCGACTTTGCATTCAACACCACCGAACATTATCTTGCGTTCATATCTACACTAGCATGGGACAGTATCTTCAGGCAGTCGACTTGGCGCTTTCTCATGGCGAAGTTGAGCTAGCAGCAGTTATTGCTGATCGACCCATGTCGAATCCGCAACTGCGCAAGCGATTGTGGCTTGCGGTGGCCCGAAAAGTCATTTCTCAATCGAATGGAATCAAGACCGCCATTGAATTCCTCAAGCGGTGCGACTTGCTCAAGATCGAGGATCTCATTCCTTTCTTCCCTGACTTTGTTGTTATCGATGACTTCAAAGAGGAGATTTGCGCGGCGCTGGAAGATTACAGCCGTAACATTGATAACTTGAAGAAAGAGATGGACGAGTCGTCGCAGACTGCAACAAATATCAAGGTTGACATTGCTGCGCTCGATCACCGATACGCAATCGTGGAACCTGGGGAGAAGTGTTATACGTGTGGGCTGCCGCTGTTGAGCAGGCAGTTCTTTGTCTTCCCCTGTCAGCATTCGTTCCATTCTGACTGCTTGGGACGCAAGGTTCTGGAGCAAGCGGGCGTTGGAAAGTCTACACGTATCAGGGAACTTCAGACACAGATACAGAAGGGTTTAGTCAGTGGTACTCAGAGGGAGACTGTGGTGGCGGAGCTGGATGCTCTTGTTGCTTCTGCTTGGTATGTTGGTGTTTCCTCTTGTAATTTCACAGCTAACATTCTACAGTATTCTTTGCAGTGACCTTGCAATCAAGAGGATTGATGAGCCTTTCATTACGCATAACGACAACGTCAACGAATGGGCATTGTAACAAGAGGAGGACAGGAACAGAGTCACGGGAGAGAAGAATCTGTGAACTTGTGGCTGCCTCATCATTATCTTAGATCTGCATATACCCCCACAACATTTATTCAGTACAATTGACGACAGCCTTGATTTGAAACCTATGGTCTAACATGGTACCAAGCAACCGCGCTCTGGTTTGTACATCTTAATACCTGCATTCGGTTACACCATCGGTGGAACGGGTTAACATAAGGATGGACACAATGACGCCGTATAAGCCTAGAACCTCGGCAAAGATGAGGATGAGGACCATTCCGATATAGAGACGTGGTTGCTGCGAACTTGCACGAACTGGGGGTTGTTAGACATTTGTCACAATTTGACAAGTTTGCTGCCTTTAGTCCATGAGCGAACATACCTCCGGCATCGCCAACAATGCCAATAGCAAAGCCAGCAGCCATGCCGCACAGCCCTACCGAAATGCCAGCACCGAGCTGCAGAAACGCCGTGTGGATAGCCATCTTCTCCTTGATGTTGTTTGACATGATGACGCTTGCTACGAGACCGTAGATAGACAGGATCTGGGCCATGATGGCACACAAGCTAAGCGTGTCAGCCACTGTTTTACCAACATTGAGTTCATCTCATCGTACGTGTTTTGCATCATCATGTCGGGGCGGAGGATGCCAGATTGGAAGATTGCGCCGGCGGACTTTGCGGTGCCGTATGCTGCGCCGAATGTTGTGAAGACGATGGAACACGCGCAACCAATTGCGCCAAAGAAGGACTGTCCATATGTGATCAGAAGTGGGTTTTTCTTTGGTAAAGGGCTACATACGGCGTACATGGGACTGAGAAATATTATGTCAGTTGAGTCTCAGTTATTAAGAGATTAAGAGGGAGGTTGTACCATCGGTCCATGTTTGCAAGAACTTCAGCATCCATGTTGACGTTGGTTAGTTACTTTGTGTTTTCCAGTCGAAGTTAAAGGTGTTATCACGGGCACAGATGGTCAGAAGTTTGTGGTAAGCAAGACACATATATACTCATGCCAGGCTGCACAGTTGGTCAAGGACATATAAGCCTATGTAAAGCCTGCAGATAACATCACCTGGTGACATGCAGCTCAGAAGGATTGATTTCAGCCGCACAAAGACTATCAATCTTGGCAGACGCTTTGCCAGGCAACTACAAATTGACTTGCATGGTTTGTGTTGGTGTTGTTGATTGCATCGTTACGTGGCTTGGTAGGCAGAAGAATAAGCAGCGTTGTAAGTGGTTGATGATGGATGCAGTATGGTGAACATCCAAGATAAGATGCGTATCCGGGGAGAGGCCTCTAGTGCAATTCATTATTGTATTCACTAATGCCATACCCCTCTGTGCCCGTGAAGCACAATGGCTAAGGGGTAATTTTCATGAGTGTCCGTCTGAAAGCGGACGTTGAGTTCGAGCTGGGGGGTTGTGAAACCGAAGATGTTACTGCATGATACCATGAGAAACGTCGCGGCACTTCAACCGAGGGCAATAGTATGGGATGGAAAATAACCACAAAATAGGAATCATGCTTCTCGTGATATTTGATTCTTGGTGTTTAGAGCAACATTGATTCAAATGCACGGTTATATGGAACCACTGTTTACCCTAAACATGATGGCTGGAGACGGAGGAAATTAGAGAGCCAATGACTCCAGAGGACGAGATCTTGGCAGTTTCGAGTGGGAAAACATTTATTTAAAGGAACGAAACAAGAATCGGACGTCATGTCAACTCGGCTCTGTTCTGATGTAGCCTGAATTTGAAATACCACTGAGTGGCCTCCGTTGTCAGTCGGAAGTTCGGCACCTTGAGCCACTTTAAGTTGTCGTCAGCATCGCCATCAGATTCTCATGTGATGCTAACTGACTAGCGACCTTTCCAGAATACCTACCTTGCTGGATAACTTCAGCTAGAATCGAATAGATTTCTCTTTTGAGAAAGACTTTGTAACACAATGCCTCAGAGAAAGCCCCGTGGTTAAGCGCTGCAGGGACCATTGCATCGCATGGCACGTCATAAAGCATGCGCCAGTCAGACGCCCATGTAAACGTTTCACAGAGAGGCTTGTGGATAAAGCGCTAACTAATAATAACTATACTTACAGTCTTGCTTACTGTAGCAGCAGGATTGTATAGTAGGATGGACCGGTAGTATTCGCATGATACTAGTAGTACCCAATACCCCGGATCTTCCGCCTTTTACGTGTCCGCTCTATCTCCCGAACAATCTCTAAAGGTTTCTACCGGCCGCGCGTCTCCTTATTGACCCCTCAGCATTAACTCGAGTCGGAGGTTATCCTGAGTTATGTCCGATGAGATGAGATGAGATGGGATGAGAGGCATCCCGACGTTTTCGAGGTGTTTCGAATATGCAAACTATACTGGTTCGTGCGGCGCCTAAAGATGATTCTGTTACAGCTTAGATCGATCAAGGGGGTAAATGGCATGACTGGATTTTGGAAATGTTATACAAAATGCATGCAAATGTCACAATGAATGGTTGTTACAGATACCGGACATGTTTTCATTGCTCTCTCTCTCTCTCTCCTCGGATTGTTCCTCGCTACTTCGGCGTTTCCGTGCCGAAAGGTGGTGCTCTGACGTTTGCTCTTCAAGGTGACGTTGACACATCGCGAGAGTTTAGTACTCCCGCGCGGATGTGCGGCAAGATCCTTAGTAACATCGACTATCTATGACCAAATATCGGCACTGCAACATACTATCGATTTCGCCTTGTGGGCGTAATCTAAGTTGGGGCGGAGTACATTGGGGCCAGGATATAAACACAGGGATCAATACCCTCAGTTGATGGATGAGCTCGACAGATCAACTTACAAGGTTTCAATCATGAAGTCTACTCAACTATCCTCCTTACTATTCTCTCTACTATCACTCACTGAAGGAATTTCTCTTAACAAGAGAGACAATGGCCTCGAGCCTCGTGTTATGAGCGTGGAGATTCAGAGGCGGACAATATCTGATCCTATTTCCAACGATCGAAGACGTCTTCGCAAGAGAGACGGGACAATAGACATTGGTATTGACAATGAAGTAAGAATCTGCCACAACAACACAGAGACGCAACCATTGACCTCCTCTAGCAATCTCTTTACTTCCTCAATGCATCATTGGGAACGCCACCTCAAGATTTCCGTCTTCATCTCGACACTGGAAGCAGTGATCTATGGGTCAACGCAGAAGGCTCAAAACTATGTTCTACTCACGCCAATATATGCAGCGAATCTGGTCTATACAGTCCTAACAAGTCGTCGACTTATGAGTATTTGAACAGCGACTTCAACATCTCATATGCCGATGGCTCTGGTGCTTCCGGAGACTATGCTACCGAGACGTTCCGCATGGGTAGTGTAAAGCTTGAAGATTTACAGTTTGGTATCGGATATGTCACATCTGACAACGAAGGCGTCCTTGGTATCGGATACAAGAGCAATGAAGCTCAGGTCGGCCAACTCAACCGAGACGCTTACGATAACTTGCCGGCCAAGTTGGCTTCCAAAGGTCTCATCGCTTCTAATGCGTACAGCTTGTATCTGAACGACCTCGAGTCTGCCACCGGAACCATCCTATTTGGAGGCGTGGATCAGGAGCAGTATACCGGCGATCTAGTCACTCTCCCCATCAACAAGATTAACGGCGAGTTTGCCGAGCTCTCCATCACACTACAGAGCGTCAGCGCAGACTCAGAAACTATCGCTGACAACCTTGACCTTGCTGTTATTCTCGACTCTGGCTCAACACTCTCATATCTCCCCGCCACACTTACGTCAGACATATATGATATTGTTGGCGCTCAGTACGAGGAGGGAGAGTCTGTGGCATACGTTCCCTGCGATCTTGGAAACGATTCAGGAAACTTGACGTTCAAGTTCAAAGACCCGGCAGAGATCTCAGTACCATTGAGTGAGCTGGTCCTTGACTTCACCGATGTGACAGGGCGCCAATTATCCTTCGACAATGGCCAGGCAGCCTGCACTTTTGGAATAGCACCCACGACAGGGGACATTTCTATCTTGGGTGACACGTTTCTCAGAAGCGCCTACGTTGTTTTCGATCTTGAGAATAACGAGATCTCACTAGCACAGAGCAACTTTGACGCTACAAAATCGCATATTCTCGAGATCGGTACCGGAAAGCATCCTGTTCCTACTGCCACTGGTAGTGGTTCTTCTGATAACAAGGAAAATGCCGCTGCGTCACTTTCACCATTAGGAGGCGACGCAGCTATTTCCATGGTTGCTGGGGCCTTTGCTCTCGGGTTTGCTTGGATGCTTATTTAACGTGGTGTTAACGTTGTGCATGGCTTATGAAGGTTTCTGGAGTAAAGCATCATGATTTAGCGTCTGGTTTGGCATGATGTTCTGGTGTTACATGGTTATCCTGTTGGGCTACATTCAAGGAGTATTGGGTCAAGATAGACACGCGTTAAGAGTAATGATGTTCTATTGATTTCTAAATGAATTTTTCTTTGCTCGAACTTATCCTACATATACCTGAGCGATGGCAGTGATCTGATCTGCGTTTGCCGATTCGGCTCCGAAAGGTCGCATTTAGCTACTCTTCGCTGTGTTACTGATATATGGCATGCAAAGTTACATTACGGAGATAAAGTTTCCACCCCATGTATACATCATATATATTTCTACTGTCCCTTGTCTGAGCAAGCTCAAGCTTTCAACCCCAAGACTTCATTCTGCTGTTGTTGGCATGCTACAGTAGACATTTCACCTAAAACCAATACACGTCAAACGGTACAGAATGACTGCTTATATCGAGCTTGCAGCTTCTTGGCTCTTCAAAAACTCCAAGGGCAGAGATGCAAGAGCTTTCTTCACCACTCCCGTCTTTGCTGAGCATCCAGAGCCTACACTTGCTGTCACATCTCCAGACTGTGGCCCAGATGGTGCAACATTGGGGAAAGACTACATGCACGGTGATCAGCACAAGTTTCCAGAGCTATCCTGGGACCCTCACTCTGGTGTAAAAGAGTGGTTACTTGTGTCTGAAGACCCAGATGCTCCCCTGACAACGCCAATTTGCCATGGGTGAGCTGACATTTTAATTTGGAAGAATGAGGCTAACTGTTGTAGAATTTACTTGGGAATACCCTCTGAGAAAACAAGAGTTGTCGAGAGTGACTTTGAGCCTGTTGAAAAGAGTTCCACTCGACTCGCGGGAGGCTTCTACTATGGTGCGAGTCGTAACGGCTCGATCTATATTGCTCCACGGCCACTTCTGAATCATGGCATTCATCGATGTGAGTGTAGCTGGCTCGAGTGCAAATACATGAATTAACATGATGCAAGACTGGTATGAAGTAATTGGTCTAAATGAGCCCTTGGACGAGAAGTTCAAGACCTCCAAACCGAACAGGGATCAAGTCGCAGAAGCCATTAATGGTAAGGTAGTTGTCTGGGGAAGATGGATGGGACAGTGCGAGAGAAGATGGGAGTGAGTCAAGATGGAGATGGTATCGATCTTATTATGTTTCTACTCTTACGCATAATTGACGGCTCCAATCTCTCAGCCCGTTCCTCATTTTGTAGTTATTGAACACCCTTAGATTCGTCCAAAACTCCAGATGTTCAACCCAGTCTTGGTTCCCTCTTGAACGGGCAGCCCAGCATGCCATGTCTCTTCGTACCCTCTACCATCCGCCGCAAAGTTCTCCCAATAGACTGCATTCCCCGGCACAACCTTGAAAGTCACACCCATACCTCTATCTTTCTCCATATCGTCAGGACACTCGATGAACCGACACCATTCCGTCTCCGCTGGTCTCTTGATAAGGGGAAACTCGGTGCCACCGCCTTTAAGACTATCAGAACCCTCGACCCACACCATGAGACTGCTCACACGGCCCCATCCACGCGTGTTAGAGCTCCAGTCGAAGTGATGGTTGTAGTGACCACCCGTACCGTACCGTTGAGTCCTCATGCGCTCGATCCAGAGATCTGGACGCCAGCCTTGAAGAGCGCGGGCACGAGACTCGATGCAGCGGACAGGGTCAGTTCTGGGAATGAGCGCAACATGAGAGTCACGGACTGAAGAGTCGCGATGGGTGGCCTCGCCATTGTTGGTTATGGTTGAAGGTACAAAGATCGGTTCACTATTGAGTATTAGCATCATACCATGACACGATACCTGGACATATCTACCTTATATCAAGCAAATGCTTCCTTTCTCCCTCATTCAAGAAATTCTCAAGGTAAATTATCAGAGGCTCTCTGCTCAAAATTCTAGCAACATAACCATCTGGAGCACATTCAGGCGCTGTCGCATTGGGCGGATCGATAGCTAGGAGCGACTCATTGAACTTGGGGCGCGGTGAGACATCGTTGATGCGGGTGGCCCGGTCTGGATACAAGAAGTCACTGATGGGATTTGAGAACACTAGAATAATAGCCAGGAGTCCAATCACGTATTGAAACATGGTTGAGGGCAGCTCATAAGCAGTCAATGGCTGATAGTTTAGAGGAGGATGAGAGTTGAAGGGGGACGATTGAGCTCATGATGAGTGGAGCAAAACTACAAGGGTTAAAGCTTCGGATAAGACGGGGTCACTAATGTCTGACCATATTTGGATCTCGAAGAGCAGAGTTCAGGTTATGGGTATTTCATATCTTAGTCATTTCAAGAGGCCCTTGGTTTATTTATTTCCTCTAAATGGTTCCAGAACGAGTACAAGAGTTGTGTGTCGTCATCTCCAACAATCATGGGTATATATCGTACAAGTTCCCCTTCGTTCAACACATCAGCGTCCACTAAATGAATGACCAAAACTCCAGTCGTATCCTAGTAATACAGATAAACTTAATCCGAATTTCTTCATCCTTCTCAACTTCCTGCTGGAAGTCCTTCAACATCCCAGCTGAGGTCGACAGCATTCAATATCCCCCAAGGATCGCCATCACCGAGGGGAATAGTATTTGCCGCCATCTGTGCAAAGAGTGTTTCTTCGGTAGATTGCCATATCGGTGTAGAAATTCGTTCTTGAAATGCTCTTAAATCGACTCGATTTTCCTCTGCACTGTTCCCGAGACCGACATCAGGTGAGGTATGACTACTCCCGGAGACCGTCTTCGTGTAGGAACCTTGGTTTGAACCTTGGTTAGCTGGCGAAGATGCGGCTGATGAATTTGTTCGATCCGGTAGCGAAATAGCCCCTGAGGCCATGCGGGGTGAAAATGATGCTGGCCACATACCCGTTCCTCTGAAATTGGGATTCAAGTTCAAGTTGAGAGGATCGCTGCTTCGCATGTTGGCCATAATTTCAGGTCCAGGACTTTCATTCGTTCTCTTTCGTTTATTGGTTTCCGGATCTGGTCGATCCGCAGGCTCAACATTTCTAGCAGCGGCCCCAAGCACAGCTGAATAACACGTCTTTCCCAGCGACATGGCGCTGGCCACCTTGTCCAGTCTTGACTTTTCAGCATCCATCCGTTTCTCTTGGGTGAAGTTGGAAGCAAACAAGATAGGCGATGCCCCAGTATGCTCCGCAACTGAGCTTCGGGCAAGCATGGGGATGCGCGACCTGCTTGGTCCAAAAGCGTTTCGGTATCTCCTCAATGACGGTACTTGAATAACAGAGTCGAGCCCGTTCTTTTCGATGTCGAGGCATGCTTGCTGTAAGAACGTTCGTGTGATGGTGTGCACACGTGCGATAGCTTCCATAGATTGGATTATGAGTCGGAAATTTGATAGGTCAATTGTGCTTAAGCCGTTGACCGGGTTCTCTTTGCCTAGGTAGACGTAAACCGTAGTGGTGCAGTATAGCGAGAGAGCAGACAATGGACTCTTCTATACAATGGTTAGCCAAGATACAAGAAACAAACAGAATGGACATACAAAGAAGAGAGTGCCGTTGGCGGTCAGTCGCATGATATTAACAATCTCCTCAGCAGCCGCTCGAAGGCGAGTAACGCTACCCTGCTTGACGTGATCGGGAAGGTTGTATTTGTCCGCTTTTTCAACGGCAGCGTGGTGCAGACATATAATCGCGGCGTGAAGATTGAGGTTCAGGTGGAGTGCTGATACGTCTCGCACATTCTCGGGGAGACGGAATTTCTCGGGGAGAAACATGAAGAGGCTGGATAAGGTGTTGTCCAGATCACGGTGTCGAGTCCAGAATGACCCATGCATTAGATCGTCGTTTCTTGCGTCGGGCTTGGATCGGTGAACATGACGGAGAATGATTTTGAATATTTCACAAGTAAGGATGGTTCCAGCGAACCCTGTGTACTGAGCACCTTGAATTGCCTCATCCAGGAAAGGAGCGTCCTCTTTGCGATCTTCGACAAATGCTTCTTCCGAGGCAGGAAGCCTTGTCGCGATCTAAATTGTGGTCAGCATTGCTCAGAAAAGGGGAGAGCGTGTCATACGTCTTCCGAGTTAATCAGGCTCGGCCATCCTGTGGAGATACTGCAATGTGCATCTGCAGCAAACACCCCCCAAAAGATTCTCCTTCGCTCTTCCAATTCAGCCCATGTAAGAGGAGGTCCCAGTGCCGGTGGCATGCCAAGGGGATCCCCATCTAGACGGTCAAGTCCTATCATGTGGCATAGTCGTACAGAGTTAGCTACGCTTATGGTCGACCTCGTGAAAAGTAGGTGTTTTGCCTCGTAAAAGGCTATGAGGGCCCAGGTCTGCGCGTGTTGAACAGATATAAAAGCATCCCCGTGTCCCTGAGATAGTTAATATTGACCTGCCAGGCACTTTGAAACCGCTCACCTTCATCATGTCTGCCTCAATGTACGCCCGTGATCGACGGTAAAAGACGTCGTGGTACTCGTCAAACTTGGTACTGCCAGTGGCCGCTAAAGCCCATATGGCATATCGCAGACACATAGGGGGTCTTCTGAGCAGAGGGCCATAAAAAGATTGGAGATATTTTCCCGGGTGGATAATTGGTATCATCCGATATTGATTGTGAAAAAAGATATTGTTGCTGTGAAGGTCAGCGTCTATCTTGGAGGTCCAAATACCGACCGTTCTTACAGTTCTTCCATAACATCGTCGGGCGGTAAAGGTTCGGTCATGCCTAGACTCATCAACTGCGCATTGAGAGACTGGGGACTCTCTTGTGGATTTTGGACGATGTTGGGTGATGTGAAAGACGAAAAGTCGGGATCAGGCAGATTGTTAATTGTCTGACCTAGTCCAGGGGTAAAGTCCATATCAAAGAAGTTAACATTCGCCTGGGGTGGCTGAACAGGACTCCCATCATCTGTTTTCTCCTCTGAAGAATTCTTATTGACCTCCTTGAGATAATCTTCAACTTGAGCTGAGATACATCATCAGCGACTCGTGGTTCATGATTACAATATGATTGTTGTCAAGATACTTACCCAGACGAGCCTCGAGTTCCTTGACATTTCTTCTCTTGAAGTTCGGCTTTCTCCGTGATTCTGGATATACACACTCATTTGAGACCTTGACACAGCGAGTGCACGCTGGCTTCGTGCGATCGCATTTCAACTTGCGGGCTCTGCAGGAAACGCATGCTAAAGGCTCAGTCTTTGCGGACTCAGGTTGGCCGGAAGGATCGGGCTCGCTTGTGTCTGGCGGCATCTTGATGAACGAGTATAGTCATTCAATGAATGAATGATAATTCCGATTATTCCTCCTCAGATCCCAAGTTCGCTGTCGCTGCAAAGTGTCGCGCGTGGTGGATAAAGGTTCGAGATGGGGCTCAAGAACCTTGTCAGGTAGGTACAGGGTGAGAAGCAGTCGAATAGCAATTATCGTGTTATCCTGACGAGTAACAGAATGCGTATGAGGGCTCAATTACGAGGGTTTTCACGATGGAGAAACGTATTACAGGCATATTCACGTTGTCAAGCTTTGATGTGGTTTGCCGTTTGACAGACCAAACGTCGGAAATCTAAACTGTCCGAAGGCCGAGAGGCTTACAATAGCCCGACAAAGGTTCTGATGAGTCAGGATACGTAAGAACTGGATCGCGAAGAGCGAAGCCGCGAGCAAGATGAGACCGAGACGTAACTGCCTTAATTATACTGTCGAGAGTTGAAGCAAAAGACGCAGAATGCGAGGCATGCCTAGGTAGGTAAAGAACCTTGACAAGTAATGATGCTAGAGGTGTGCCTTGTTATTGAGGTATCGGTAGATGTTTCGGCTCGTTTAACCTTATTTAACACCAAGTCGTGGGAAAAAAAAAAAAAAAAAAAGAAAGAGGCTGCTCGTTCCTGCTTCGATGTGGCGCGGATAGGAGATAGCTTCTTCATCCCTTGCGTATCAGCCACACCTAAAGGCACCTTCCCAAGCTATCTTGTGTCTTGGTTACAGTGGGTAGAGCCTGGTCCCTTGCTGAACCAAGAAAAGCTTTTGTCACCTCACAAGCTCTATCCGTATCACTCTCACTCTCATACCCATCAGAAACAAATTACTGTACTTTTAGCCCTTCAACATGCTCCACTGTACCGTATATGCACCATACAGTATGGAGCGGATGCTCTGTGTGTAGGCGGCCCGGAACACCCAAGCCGACAATATCTCGACTTTTCTCCGCTAAGGTTAACTGGACCTCTCCCTGTGACCGATGAGCATGTCACTTGGGCCTTTCGGCAATCAGATCTTCAACACACAAGGGCACTCACTCACCTGGATCTTCGACACCACCAGCACCGCTCCTACCCGCCCGCCCCAATCCAATCAGTAGCTTGGTCCTCGGACTCTTCTTCCAGGGCGGAGATCAAGGGGCGAACTCAAAACCCTCATGTTTAGTAAACGTTCTCGACCATAGTCGTCCGAGATCAGAGATCAAAGCACTTTGCTATTCTATTCTTTCCGACGAGGTTTTCAGCTCTTTCTCGTCAGTCATCGTCATCGTCACCACCGCCGCTGCCAGGGGCTTCATCCGCACCATTATGCGAAAGGCGTTCGTGTTTCAAGCGCTGCATAATGATAGTCCGGAATTTGACTTTTCTCAGACCAGATTGACTTCACAATGAGGTGTCAGGGCAGCATCATCCACAACCCCCAGTCACTGCGCTTTTCCATGAACAACACGCTTCTTGCCCCTTCGGTGCTGCCGCGCTACAGCCGGGATGAGACGATGTCACTGGGCCATCAATGACGGTCGTATTACAGGGCTCCCGCCACTTGAAAGCAGGGGAACAGTGGCTGTCATCGCCATCGCTCCCACTACAGTACATATGTCCAAGAACTATGAGGGCACGGACTGACACGCCCCAGCCATATGTACATACGCATACGTATTGTGTGTGCGGTGCTTTGCTGTGCTCTGTCGACGGGAAACGCGGGCTTAAAATCCGAATAGTTTGCACCTCCCGATGTCAGCTAGTCATTCCATCAGCCGAGCTAGAAACTTTGACAGGGCTTCTCGAGTTGCCTCGACGGCCGCCAGACCCACTCTGGTGAACAAATGTGGCACTTAGCCGTCTGCTGCCGATTCGACAAGCGCTGACGATTGACAGCTAGGCTTCAACACTATCTTGGAGTACTGGCGGTCCTGGAAGGCCCGGCCGATCACCAAGATCGACAAAGAGCACCTAGCTTAGCGGTAGCCCTAGATTGGCTTAGACTCTACGCCATTCAGGTCTCCACACTTCCAACCAGGTGGTGGCGTTGAGGCCAACGAGGTCAGCCCTGAGCAACGGTTCTGGCAACTCCGGTATTAAGAGACACAGAATCTAGCGCGGGTGTCGCAGCCCTGAAACGAAAGGCATTGGCTAGAATAGCCTTTGACCACAGCGTTGAACGCCTGTTTCGCATGTCCTTTTCTCGTTGCGAATTCTTGTCGGTGGTTTCTTATCTCGCGCTCTCAATTTACATCCTCTGCGTTTTATAACCCGGCGCGCATAGAGCATACGCTCAGCTGATCAACATAGTAGCCCGGGGTCTCGGGGATTAACTTGGCAGGGGACAAAATGGCGATGTGGATTGCCGCCTCGCGCTTCTTATATCAGCCCTGCCAGTACCGTCTGAAACGACTGTGACGCTCATTGTTCTGCCTGCGCATCTTTCGTACAAGCCTCAATGACTAGACCCCAGGAGTATGAGCGGTTAGCCGCATAGGTGTCTGCATGATCAAGCACCCGCGTCAACAGCTTGAACCCATTAATGTGGCTTTGTTAGAAGAAACCGCTTGAATTGCACAAAATGGGATGAACGAGCACGCACGAGCCCATGAAGAAAGTCAATTCGCCTCCCTGGAACGGCTAAAGTTAGAACTGAGAGGTAACGTTGTTCATTTTGACATAATGGAGGCGGCTCTGGAGTGATCAGGGATCGACGGTAGGGCCCTGAGCACCCATGCGCCACAGAATTTACATTGAAGCCGCCTGGTTTGCAGAGGTAACGAGGCGCGCTGCATCTCAAACCTGGGCTCCAGTTGACGTTGAATTTATGCTCTGCAATTGAATACGTCAATGCGGAAGTTCTACCTTCAAGCATGCTTGCCACGCGAAAAAAGATCCAGGTTGTCTCAGACCTTTCTTTAGCCTCACCGCAATGAGAGTACTCGCATGCCAAAGCTCTGTTTCGGTTCAGCGGATCCGAAAAACCGGTATCAAGGATATTGTAGCTCGCCGTCTTTGCGGCAACTTGCGAGTTGCGCCGCTTTGTTTACTATGGAGTCAAAGAGATGAAGGAAAATCCGTTCAGCATCATCCAGCTTATTCAAGGACCCGAGCGATGGTGAATTGTGGCCACATTCATATGCTTACTTTTGAGACACTCAGCTGTCAACCACCTATCATCGCCGACATGTCGCCTTGGCGGGCACATCAAGGATGTTCTGAGGAACGTCTTGTCTTTCAGCCACGCCACGCGGCTCGTTTGCCCCAGTGCCATGGACAGGGAAAGAGAGGGAAACTTGGTGAGCCACTACCACGAGGTCAAGCCATTACATCCACAACGACCCATCAATTCAAGGTGCTCTGGGCCAGCGAAACAGGACACCACGTCAAACGGCCTATCAATGAAACATGGAAGAATGAGCTTCTTAGTTCAGCACGGGAAATTTAAAGGGACCAGCTAAGGTTGCTCAAATTGCTCCTAGGCCAAGGGCATCATGCCAAGTTTCAAGTTGAACCAGAGTAATTTCCTCAAGAGTCCAACTGAACGGTTGCACTACCAAGACTACGCAGCCATAACGACTACTAGCCTCCTAGTGGTACTCACAGACGAGCATATGTACGAAAAAGGGTACGCCTCTCAGCCTAGCTGTCATCTAAGCCCGCCACAGACTGTCGCTGGCGCCCCTCATGGTCCACCAGCATCTTGCCGCGGCGAACGCCCGTTTTGTGTCATTTACTCTTAAATCTGGAGGGAACTTATGTTGAAGAGTCTTGGTCATCAACAATGGTCATAACATATCAACACTAGCAACGGATACCAGACATGCCGTAGCCGTACAGCCAAATGTTGTGGGGTCTTTATCATGTGAAATTTGTTGAAACAAGCCAATGCCCGAATGACTTTCACGACACAATACTTCAGCGACAGGGGCGGAGTGACTGCTGCACATTATGATAACCAGAGCATACCATGAAGACAGACTGACTGTTCACCTGTTGTCCGTTGGAGGCTATGCCAAGCTACCACAAAGAAAAGCAGTGACTGGCTGTCAATTGACTCAGAAAATGAGATCAAGTCGGTCCGCTGTGTTATACTAATTCATGTGGAAGCTCGGCAAAACATGAGTGCTTGATCTATGTGTGCATAGTCTGGCTGGCATTATCACTCTTCCTGGACAGTGCACCTGCCGTCTTGTCTAAGTTGCTTGGTTTATGCTTGTTTCCGTCTGCTCACATATCCTGGGGGTAGTAGTCAACTTTCAGGCCCTTTTGCATATTATTAGGCACCTGGACCGGTCACAAGAGGCCCTGTCTCCCTGTCGCCCTGTCTTCCTTGCCTGGAAACACCCCCTCACCGGTCAATTTTGACATGTTTCATGCCTGGTGTGCATCCCTGTTCCCAGCTGGTCTGCATGCGTAGATCGTTCGACTGAACTTTACAAGGAGATGTCCTTGCGGCATTCACGGCTCAGGGCGTTCCTAGAAGCCCGATCTGGCCTTTGCAAGTGCCGCATCCCAAGCGCCCTTGACCTGGCCGTGACAGCATCACAGTCGCTTCCAAACCGTCACAAGGCATGAGTTACTTTTTTGGGAAGGCAGCCGCCTCATGAGGTTGTCTAGATGTGCATGCAGCGGCAGAGGCGCACCTGTGGGTGTTCCTGTTGCTGTTGGTGGTGGTGGTGGTGGTGCTGCTGCATATCTTCAACCATGAGCTATTGTCTGCTATTGACTAGTAGACAACGTGCCTCTCCGTGCTATGGATATCGGATACTACCTCTTTTTCCTTCTCACTGTATTTCTCGTTCAGATTCCCTTCTTGGCACCATGCATAACTGCCATCGAATGTGTGCTCATCATTGCTAAGTCATGAAAAACTCGTCTTTTATGCAACCATCCAGCCTCCCACCCAGGTAGCTAGGTATGTATGCCACCCACACCCTTCCTCGCCTTCTCCTGCTGCAGCAAACTTCCGAGCACCGGAGAATCTCCGTCGGGTGTGTCTTGCATTAACAGAGTCAGTGTCGTCAAATCCTCCGTAGCCCAGTTTAGGATGACAGAACCGGCCGACTGGCTCTCCGTTCAAAGACATTTTTAACACGGACCTCAACTTGGTCCCTGGCTCCCTTCTCGGAACATGGTCTCCTTTCCTCACTCAACTTGGCAGACCTTCTTTACCTGATCGGATTCGAAGTGAGGTGGTAGTTGGTTCTATCAAACCAGTGGCTCCTAACATAGGCTAGCCGTTGACGCTATACATGACTGGTGACATTCTAAATAGCCCCGGCTAAGATCATCCTCTCCATTGACTCCACATAGTCCCCCTAAATCTGCGCTGAGAAACATAGGGATTCTTGAGCGAGTAATAAGTGAGTGTTAGCGATGGTATCGGTAAGACTGGCTGACCGGCTGCCTCATGTTATTATATTGGTGGACCGGGGGTCGGGAAATTCACGATAATTGGTATTCCCACTTAAGATCAAAGCTTTTTTTAGTATGGTTAGCGGTCCTCAATAGGTGAATCAACTAAAATCCTACCATGGCCCGTCCTGCCTGGACTTACACCCACCCATACATGCACAGACGGTAGGTCACTGTCGGACGGACGCTTCCTAGTACTGTGGTCTGTAGTTGGCTCATCCCTGATTGGCAAAGTTTTCCTTTTCTTGTAATTTGATTTGATTTGACTTGGTATGATTTGACAAGGAAGGCGTCTGGTTCACCTTTTGCCAAAGTCATCATGAGCCCCTAGATTATCGTAGATTGTCCGCGAGGTGTCTAATCTTCTTCGAGTCCAATGCTCATCCGGGAGACCCATCCTCTGTTTATCCTCCGTGCAGAACGCTGTTATCGTATATATCGCGTTTTCTTCGTTGAAATGTTGATGATCGTTCTCCATGCTTTTTGTTCCTCATAGGTTCAATGGCTGACCAAGGGGGAAAAACAATATCCCCACTTTAGATGGCCCAAATACCCAAGGGATATCCCGTCGCTAAACGCGTTTGGAGGCTAAAACCTCAAACATGAAGAAGAAACAGTAGCAAGAACATAAAATGCGCTATTCCCATACCAAACCCGAAAAAGGGTATCGCTCCGAAAAAACAAGATCATTCAAATAATGGCCGATGCAGATCTTCATAGTACCTGAATTTAGACACTGCCCCTGCCGATGGTGCCAGGCCTTCGCTGGCTCAACGCCTCAAGTTCCTCGTCATAAGTGGCGCCCTCACCGTCACTTAAGGGTCCGGCGGGCTCTCGTTTGGAGTGGTCAAAGTCACCCCGTTCTGTTGTGGCGAGGACCTTTAGGTCACCGCCTCGAGCGCCCGTCATGGCGTCAGTTTCAGCGCGAGCGTTGTTGATCATGGCTGGCAATTGGCGACGTCGAGCATTGATGAACCAGTTTGAGATTTGATCTGTTGTTGGACATGTTAGTTTCCAGTCTTGACTAGGCTTCTCCGTCCTTGGCTTAGTCCGGCTAAACTTACTCATCTGCAGTCCAGTCTGTCGCATGAGATCTTGCTTTTCGTCCTCGGTAGGGTATGGGTGTTGAAGGTGTGCGACGAACCACGCCCTGAGCTTGTCTGTAGTCTCTTTGGGCAAGTTTCCTCTTCGCTTCCGTTGTTTGTTATCACCGCTGAGACTGGCAGAGCTCATGTCTCCAAATCGAACAAAATCTTGGTAAGGTGTATTATATGTGCCTGGAGTGAAAGGTGTCCGATCATACGAGTGAGCGGATCCCGTGGATAGTGACTGATATCGTGTTGGGTGGTGGTAAGGATACCCATAACCGTTTTCATGGTATGGTGAGACGCCAGGCTCAGATATGGGAGTTCGTGAATGTGACATCGACTGCTGAGGTGGTCGATAGCCGTCTGAAGGTGCTGTGCCACGGCCCACAGGTAGTTCTCGTTCCAAAGAACGTGGTGGAGGAAGACTGGGCAGCGTCGGCCGAGACTCTGCTCTCTCACTGGCTTCCATTGGGACTGAGTGAGAATTTGACCCGTTTGTCAGAAACGGGCTTGTCCTTGTGGGAGCGGCCCAATTCTCCTGTGACCCCCCTTGGATAGGTAGGTGTGGTGAAATCTGCCTGGGTGAAGCTCGATCGGGACTGTAGCACAAGCGTGGTACTTGACGGACTCTCTCCGTTTCAACTTCACGCTCCATTGATAGTCTCCTTCTTTTGCTAGAATTGGGTGAGTGTATATATTGAGGCGATGCTGCGGTCAATGGTGGTGCGCCCAAGGGTGGCCCTGTAGATGGCGGCTTGGTATTGAGATCATGTGGCGGCTGGGTCTGAAGTTGTAATTCGGGGAATGCCTGTGAGATATTAGCTAAACAGTAACATAATGGTTTGCTTGTCGAATCGATGTAATGTACCTGTCGAATTGAAGGAAGTGCAACTTTGTCGTTCTCGGTCCTCGGTCGAAGCGAATAGTCGGGACATCGGTTGGTTTCCCATGGACGGGGCATACCGAAGGATGAAGGGTGAGGAGAAGGAGATGCTGTAGCAAGCATAGACATATTGGGAAGTTGAGGAGCTGAGGTTCGTGGTTTCGTTTCAGACTGTTTTGACAGTGAACGACTATCTTCCATAACAATACGGCGAGCAAGGCGAGGAGTGACCGCGCAGCGGTTATCGTGGTCTATTGCCCGGTGTGACGGATAATTCGATTCTCAATTACTGATCAATGATGAATTGTACCTTGAGATATTACGCAATGTGAAGTCAAGGAACGCTTGAACGATCGTCCAGTCCGCAACGTTGCTGATCTAATAGACAGTTGAGGAAACAGCAGCGTTGGTGAGTAAAGAGCGAAATCAGGCAAACAGTCTTGAGGACTAAGCCTGGTCGTATTACAAGAAGATAGCGATGGAGAGAAGGAGATGGTGGTTCAAGAGAGTAACGATGAGTCGGGGGTTATTTGCCGTTGGTGGGACGCCCAAGCCTTTTGTATATCAGATATAATGGCGGCGTTTGGCCTTGATGGTTGTTCCAAATCCCATGTGGGGGCTACTCAACCGTAGGGCAACGCAGACGAGGGAGCCAGGTTAGGAAATGCCAGAAGACACAGGGCCATAAACAGTCTGAGCGGAGAATTTCAAAGTGGTCGGGGCTGAACTGGAGAAGTCGCAGTATTAGTGAAACCAACTCGTCCAAGCCACATACAACGACGTGGGAACAAAGCGTTGTGGACTGGGATGCCAGGTTCTTTAAAGCAATACAGACAGGTACCTCTCCAAAGAGACTTCTTTGCCTCGAGGTGTGGAGGAAACAACCTGACGGGCAGTCTAAACCTGAAGGGCTCAGGCATGCGAGCTTGAACAGGGTACACAGGGCGATCAAGAAGCCAGGGGGAATGAAGGATGGGGCAAGATGAAGAAACAAATGGCCTGGCTTGAGAGAACCTAGCGTCGTATCGTTCAGGACAAGAGAAACGTCACCAATCCCAAAACACTCATGAACAGCTTTGACAGGCTCGTGGTGGTTGCTGGGATATGGCCGCTTCCTGGATCAGGGGTGGTTATCGACATGGAGCAGGGACTCAACAAGAGGCCAAGACCTGGCGCCCATGGCTCTTAGTTCACAATTTAGGAACCCAGTTGGAGAAGCAGAGAAAGGTGACCAGGTCCATGGTGGCTGACACACCATGGCGTGTGCGATATTGGCAGCCTTTTCGATGTGGAGTGTGGAGTGTCAGCTAGTTTTCGCCGCTTCCACCCCCATCTGCATGTCCCTTTTTATGTACATACGTTGTTTGTATGGACGATGGAGTCAAGGCGGTTGAGAGAGAACGTGCAATGAACGGGATTGTGCTACGCGAGGACCAGACCGGAGTTTGGGGTATCATTGCATATGCATCTGTCTTTACACGTGCATACATACCGACACATATATGAGTTTGGGGTCATACTTGACAGTACCCTGTCCTGAATAGGCCAGACCACAATTTTCGACATGGGCATAAAATTTTATCCCTAACTGGATCTGCATTTCCTCAACGTTGGTAAGCCTCTGTGGCTTGGCGCTAGATTGCCGACTTTGGTTGTGGTTGTGGTTGTGATTGTGAACGTTGTAAGAGTAAGAAGCCACTCACATAGTCTCTCACCACTGCTTGTGAGGGGATCACGAGATTGGAGCGCTCTGACCCAGGCCGATGGGTTTCGGGCTTGTGGTGCTATTAGAGTTCAAGAATGACGGATGCTCAGCGCTGGTAGGTGCCGTTACGCTCCTGTTTGGCTTTGCCTCTGGCTGATACAGTCCAGCCTCGATATTTTACGGGTGTCATCTCCATAGTTGTTGTGGCTAGGGGCAGCGCTAGAGCGGCTACGGCACCCGCCACTGACAATGGCATCTGCAAGTTGCAGATATGCCATGAATCAAGCGTAATCCTTGGTTCGCTACCATCGAGCAAGCAATTACACGTCAGTACCGGGTTGTGGATCGGCGGCCAGTTTTGTAGGCGTCACTATCTCAAGCACCCAAACTGCACAGTAGAGTTTTAAGTAAGTGGTCATCGTCGTACAATTGTCATTACTCGTCTGTGCTTCGAGGCTGAACCAAACGATCTCGCAAGTGTGTCCGTAGGTAGGGACCATAGGCTCCCGGCAGTCATTATGTGTTCGGCAGCCAATGTGGGGTTGTTGAATGTGGTAAGGAATGCCTTGCCTGCTTGCTTGTCGTCGTGTTGTGCTATGTTTGTTTCCTGGATTTCCAGCAATCCTGAAAGGGGGGGGGGGGAGGGCATAAGCCCACTCATATCACTAGGATTTCTGTTGTGACGCGGCTTCAGCGGGTACAGAGACGGGAGGCCCGTGGCGTCGACGGGCAGTCCAGGCCCAAGTCCCTGGGTCTTGGGCGGCGGTCCAACAAGATCTTAGGATAAACGTCTAAACGCCTCATTGAGTGCAAAGACACGCATATGAATATGTGTGTGCGTTGATAAGTAAGAAATGGGCGACTCCACATCTCAAACTCTTTCAGAGATGCTATTTCTTCGCCTTGTGTTGGTTAGACATCAGCCATGGGCCGGAGAGTTATTCGATCGTACATGAATAGATAAATTATGACAGCTTGCTTGCCCTTGCACAAATCGCAGAACATAAACTCAACAGCCTGTCAGCAAAAGCTTTAATGCGATTGGCTTGTCAAGTTATACGATCGTCGCGAAGATCGCACGGCGCCGGGACGTATTGGGATCACCTCCGGAGCCAGGATAGCCCACTCTCGAAAGCCACGATTGGTCCCTAAGAAAACGGCTTGGAAGGGATTGCAGGGCAGCATGGCATAGTACATGTGCTGCTCGGCGCAGGTGCACTGAAACAGCAGGTATCGTAGCATCTCTAGGCTCAATACGGTCTGCCACCGACGACGGTCAAAGTCATACTTGCTCTTGGCACCTGAATGAAGCTTAAGTTATCCGTTTGAGAACATGGTATCAGTCAATAAGGATTGAACGTTACACCGCACCGAGGCTTGCTGGCGCGTGCCTGTTGGTCCCTGGCGTACCTGATCTCGGCAGATGATTCTCGAGCTTAAACAGGATCATAAACTTTGTTTCTCCTTCCGAGGTGAAGTCTGGAAGGCTTGAGGTCCAGGACCGGCAGGTGAACCGATGAAGTTGCACTCACCGTTGAGGTTGGCGTTTGTTACGGAGACGATGTGATGCTATTCCAGGACGGGGAAGCTGATCAAGATTCTCCACATCATGGTCCACATCACGTTACCTTGCACGGGGTTTTGGAATGGAAGGTGCCTTGAATGCATACCGACCTTACCTCTTTCCTAGGAATATACATACGGCTCCATATACATATATCTAGGTAGGTACGTGCGTACGGTCAGGTAAGTGCTACCTAAAATAGGGATTCTCTTGATTCAGTGACGGAAGGCGCCAGTAAATTGGCCCGATCGATAGGTAGTCGAGTGCAAGTTTCGTTCCAGCTCCCATCTTGAACAGTATAATGGATCATCTACCAATCTCTACGCCACCGCAAGCAAGATTCATGCTTCGAGATTACCTACTGCAAGCTAACTCACTAACTAACAAACACTTGATTTCATGCCAAGAGGTATGCTGATCAGCACGCCGTTGAGCGGTACGTGCATCGCAACCACCCATCTCATTTCCTCAACGGTCAATCCATGGACAAGATCACTAATCCAGGTGCATGCAGTTCAGACCACGTCGGTTACAGTACCAGGGTCATCACTAGCGAAACCCTGGTTCTAAAAGTTATTTCCTTGGCATCGGCCGCCCAACTAGACCTCCATCGGGACGGATACAGCATCTCGAGCTTGCACGTTATTACTTCATCCTGTTCTATTATAGTAGCCATGTCCAGGGCTGCGACTCAGCATGCCTGCTAGGATCAACCCAACCAAGCCAAGCTGGATCTCTGTCAGAGCTGGTGTGTGCACAAGTCGTCGCCCCATTTTCAAGACTTCAGACAAGGGTGCCGGGGTACACCTTGCCCACAGGAGTATCCCAACATCTTGAGCTGACCACTCATCTTTCACCTCGGAGTTGCGCCGGGCCTCCTCTTGCCGATCAATTTTTGCCAGACCTTCGGCTATGAATAAATCCCTACGGCAATCCTCTAGTCTATCCACATCTGTCAAACTGCACAACGGAGATGCTTCAGAATCCTTCCGATCACAACCCTACGCACTGACAGCAATTTGGACGGGCCGGAAGTGTGCACAACACTCGTTCAGGCTGTTCAGTTGGAGTCCCGGTGGCATGCCCTTTCATTGATGGCTATAGAGAAGCCAGAATAGGCCTGTGTTTCTGTCACGCATGAATTTGAGACATTTTGCTGGATGACCGTGAAGCTTTCTAAGTCATGGTCCAACTAAAGTTGGGTCCAGGTCTTTCTTCATTCGCTATGCATATCATCGTTCTAAAGAAGGTTGTTTTGTTCATCGACATTGATCTGACCCACATCGTTGTGCCGGCTATGCAAAGTATGCAGGCCATGCTCCATTCACACACATATGCTGGGTAAGGCCATACCCATACTGTACATACACCTTTTGCCCATGCGAACCCTGGCTGCTGGACAAGACGTGGTGGCTGCCTCCTGTCGCACCCCGCATGGCCTTCAGGGCCCCTTCATGTAGGTATCTCACCCGCAGTGAGACAACCTCAGTTCGGTTGTTCGTTCAAAGTCATGTATGCTACCAAGCCGCATACCCTCTGTTGTTCGTTCAGACTCTCGGTGTCAACCCCCATAATGGACCGGAGGGATCCAGGGATGCATTCGCAAGATGGGCTGCACTAGGAAAAGAGTAGCCGACCCGGCACCCTGGCTGTCTTGTTCATCCCGTTCTAAAACTCCCAATCACTCATCAGTCAGTGGTCACAGCCATTGACATTTCCATCTCACGGCAGAGCCCGTTGGTCGGGAGGGGCTTTCAGGGCACCCCTGACCTACCAGTTATTGGGAGCTGGCGGGCCCGCAAAACCAACAAATCTGGCGCCGAGCAGATCTGGCTTTTGACATATTTTGCGGGACACCCTAGTCTCATCTCCGTGTCACCATCCATCATTTGTCTGTCAACGATCCATGAGAAGGCGTCGCGAGAAAAAAAAGTCTCCGTCCATGTCCAGATTTATTCTCGACAAAACTCACCGCCTTACATGAGTTCATCGGCCTTGCCATACCAGATCTAGGACAGTAGCACAGCTCACAGTACATTACACAAGTCCTAAAGTGTACTTTCCATAACGTGGGGGCGTTCTTCATCAGATGCGCCAAGTCTCCCTAGTGGTTACTGCTCCTGACAGCAAAAAGCAATCCTGTCACTCACAATACCATAACATGCGGACTAATATCGCCCCTTGCCGCCACGGTTCAGGATCCAAAGTTGCCAGTGTCCAGCCGATTGGATAGCGTTCAAGACTACGCCGTCGCTTATCTCGCTTTTGCCAGGTTGTCCTTCGTCATAATGACCTGCATGTGCTGGCACCTATACCATATCAACGGCTTTCTGTATGCTCAAAACGATGAAAGGCAAAGATGCCAGTTAGATCCAATCTTCCTTCCATTCTTGAATGTCCGAGCAAGTTTTACTTTCTCCTGTCTGACGGCGGATAATTTCCAAAGCCCGATTTGTTTTCACTCACACGTGATTACTTGGCTAAAGCCAGAAGACCAGTGTGTTTTCATGTAGACTTTCGGAAGACGTATGTTCTTCGCATATGGATAGCCAAGAGTCTTGCAGGCTGTGTTCCTCCCTCACCAAGTACAAGCTCAGGGGACATACACAGATCACTCAGTATAAGACTTTGTTTTGTCAGACTGGTACACAAAGAAAAGTGGTGACGGTGGCATCGCCAGTCGAATAACCTGAGTATCACTGGCCAAATCGTCGAAAACACTGGTTTTGAATCTGATTGCTTGTCTCATATGATCACCCCAACCTCGGAACTCGCTGGTGGCTGTGAGGTAGAACATTCACGTGTCAGTCAGTCAGTATCAATTAACAGCAAATTCGGGACTACAAAGATTCCGTGCAGGTCATCGCATCTTGTTAAAAACAAAGTTCCCTCTACCTACTCGCATGACTCGTTCATGCCATATTCGCTCGATACCGCGAACAGCAAGCAACATGATCCGCGGGGACACTCACCTACAGTTTAAAACATCCGGTACGGTAGAACTGTCTCTTTAACAGGGGCATCCTGGCAAGGCGGGACCCTCAGCGGCAGGCCATCTGAATCAACTGCCACATCGGATCCCCTGCATCTGGCCTCTTCAGCGATATACCTACAGTTCGATGAATCCATCGTGTGCCCTCCTCAGCGGCTATTGCGTTTTCCGCTACTCTTGTACTCTTCTTTATGATCTTACACAAGTTCGGACAGCTTTGGTCAGACCTTGACCAGCATATCATTAATGCATTTCGGAACCGTGTTGCAACACAAGCCACTTAATTACTCCTTGTTGTGCAAGCAGTATCACCCCGCCTCGATCGAACGGCGTTCGCCCCGACGTCGCACTGAGATTCTGTTGAACGATGTCAATCAGGATATCAGTGCATGATCGCGGAAGTAGTTGCCTATGGCCGAGGTCTCTTCCTTTCCGTGCATGCATATTACAAGCTGCATAATACCTGTCATGAGACCATCGTTTATGCGATACCAACACCGACTACTTTGGTCGGATGCATTATTATTATTATATGATGATGATGGCAAAGAATTTTTGCCTGCCACGAAACAGAGGGTAACATACATCATGGGTATGTATCCACCATAGATGGCAAGCGATTGGCATTTCATTTTGACCAGGAAGTTGTGGGTGTCTTCGTCCGTCCTCTCACGAGAGTTGAGGTAATTGTGTATTCTAAGATCATACCCCTCCCTTCGCAGCATCATGTCTGGTTGGGATTTTATCAGATCTTTGCAAACTAATCAAGGGCCCAAGTTCCTGTCATTGTTGACATATGAGCAAGCGAACGCCTGATCCTGGTCAACTATGTTTGAGAGGAGACACCAGGTTCATGTTAACTAACGTGTAACAGAAATAGAAGCGACTCCTGAACAGACGATTGATTGCATCCTGACAAGTTTCATTCTCTTTTCTTTTTCCACTTATCCCCTCCACTTGCATTGGTCATATTCACGTCCTGTCAAAGAATCCGGGTATCATCACTCGACATGGCCCCGGCCAAAAGTCGCTAGGATCTCGTTGACCTGGTTCTGTTGTATGGATCGATCAAGGTAATTTTGTGCAATTGACTGTCAGGCACCATTCTCGGCTAGGACGATCGGGAAATGCAACGGTGTCGGCATTGTGAAACTTCAAGTTCCATGGAAAGACATATTTTATGCTGGTTGGCCGTTCAGTTAACTCCGTTTGCAACGAAGAGGTTGGTGTGTATCATGGAGGAAAGTTTGCGCCTAGCATATACTAGGCCATCCATTGTATTGGATGTTATACGAATAGCTCATCAGGTCGAGCAATGCAGCCCAACAATCCCTACAACCCACGGCCAAAAAGCAACTCTTCAGGGTCATATCTATTTCGACCCAATGGTACCCACCGCGATGGTAGCGGTAGAAAGGCGTCTCCCAAACAAAAAGAGAAGCGATTGAGAGCCATGGTCTTGTGTTTGTCTCTCCTAGGCTGTCTGCTGTCATGCCCCATTCTGCCGTGACACGATACCGTACTTTGAAGCGGTTGGCCTGAGCGTCCTGTCAGACGGACACCAAACCCATCTTGAGCCGCCGTGGCCGGGCGTCCCTTGGCCCCAGGCCATGGACCCTTTCCCCGGTTCGGCCTCTTGGTCGGCCATTTTTCTTCTTCAGCCGGTGCTCCGTGCTCCGCGCCAGTCTCGGATGATGATGATTGATATTGATGAATGCTACGACATCTCAATCCTTTGCTGTATGGCACCGGCATGTGGGCTACGTCGCCCCTGTTCCCCAAGCACTCAGCTAACTAGGTAGTTGAGTTAACCTTGAGCTTATGCTGGCCTTGAAAGCCGCCATAGTACTACTGCATACTACTCTGCAGTTGTATTGCTCAGATATGGGTGACCCACAGCCACTGTCTCTTCCCCCTTTATAGGCCATCCCGAAATCCTACAACGGACAGATATTGTGCTATTCGTACCTGTACAGCAGTTCTACAGCATGAAACATTGCTTTTGTTGATGAAGCGTTGTTGCGTCCTGTATCTTTCCGCTTTACCACACTCCGCATATCCCCCCGACAAACTCTCCCCTTTACGATATGCCATGCACCCACTAACCCACTCGTGTTACCCTCTACCGTGACCCGAGGTGTCCTTTGCATCTCCTGAGAAGGCTTCCTGACTTCACTCCCTTGTCCGTTGTCTGCGTACCGTCACAGCGAAATTCTCAGTTTCTGGAATATCGCGACAAGCCCTCTATTGGGTAATCCGCTCCCGTCGAGTTCCACGCGCGCATGCAACAATTACCTGTGACGGTTTGGCTTCGTCGGTTGGCTGCGTGAAAACAAGGTCGTCCCACTGTACACCACGGCATCGGCTGCGGTATCTGGGCTGTTGTGATCCCATCGATTAGGAGGCGTAGAACACTAAGGAAGGCCAAGGTAACTTGGCTCGATTATCACCACTGAATACCAGCTTGGTAATTTGCTATGATCCTCAGTGACATGCCGTGAAGATGTTGGAGCATACTCCCGAGTAGCGACTGCCCGGTTGTAGGGTGACTAAGTTTAAGAATGTATCATTATCACAGTTGGTGATTGTTCACATAGTGTTATTCGGAACGTTATTTATTCAAGAACAACTGCCGTATTCACATATGGCTATTGGAGTCGCTGTAAGTTGTTGTGTCATAGTGTTACCGAATTTCACGATAACTGTCATCCGTAAATTTATCTATTTAACTCATATCTCGCACTCCGGGCATACACTGTAACGCGTGGGCACACTTAGTGAACAGGATGGTTTTTTTAAATGATGAAAGCCAAAATGGAGGAGACTAAGAAGAGGAACAGTGAGGTTCTGGCGGTCGTCATTGAACGACGACTAGCTGAGTTTGATGAGTAGGTATGCGAGAGTTGTCCTTTGATGTTGTCTGTCGATGTTCAGGTTGACAATGAATAGAATGACGACCATTTGCTGGTGAAAGCCACGATGTAAACAAACATCAACGTCCTTGATGATTTCATCCAGCTGTAACTTAAGAAGCAGAATAAAAAGACAGCTGGAAGCCTTTGGTTTTATGTCTCGTTATCACGAGGACTAGATATAAACTCCCACCTCTATTGCTCTATTATCCCTCCAGAATGAACTCCCAGATCTGATTCGAGATCGATCTATGCATGATACGTAAATCATAACCCGTATGCCCTTGACTATGTCCTTCGGAACACCTTATTCAAAAGTCCGCCTCCTCGCCCTCTTCGAGTTATCTCGTCTGGGGATGACACTGCCCTTATTTCCTTACCCTTGCTTGTCATTTGCGGACTCCCATCTGATGCTGCTTCGTCTCCACGAGGAACTTCGACGTACTCGTCCGACTCTCGATTTACATTTGTCCGGTCAAAGTAACTGTCGGCTGCCAATTTCGAATGACCTGGCTCATAAACAGTGGCTTCTGCTTGGGAAGCTTGGCCATCTCGAATTTTGGTCAAGCCGCGATCCAGGTACTCTACCATTTGCGCCTTGGTGACAAAGGTTTCGTCATCAGATCGTCCAACACCGTGAACGTCTTGTGCCTTCTTGAAGAGTGCAGGGAAATGATTTTGAAACTCACTCTCAAGGGCCTTTTCTTGTTCTACTAGTGCTGTGGTTCGCTCCTCGTTATGCCCAGGAGATGAACTGAGGTGACGTGTCTGATCCTCTGTTTCCAATCGTGCGAAAAGGGCAGCAAGCTCCCTCTCATTGCTTGGCATGCCTTCACTGATAGGTGCTTCCTTGGGAGGCCCTTTCTCGGCATCGCTGTCTTGAGCGCGGTATACGTGTTTGCCGAATGAGTCACTGAACTCTCGATAATGTCCTTTCAAAATGAAGCATCGTCCGTGCCAGCCACATGCCCAGAGCTTCTCCAGCAGAGTATCGGCCGAGGGGCACTCCCAGGGGTACTCAAGCCCACGTGAGTAGAATACAATACATCTCGCTTGCTGCCAGCGTGAGAATGTCCTCCGACTTTGTGCGTCGGGGAAGGCCCGCTCAATCATATCTAGAGAAGCTGGGCGTAGGAAGGATTGAGGAGCACGCAAATGGATTGCACCCTTGATGTGCGACCTCTGGAATTCCGTCGATGACCGAAGATCGAGTAAAAGACTCTGACCTGGTAAAGATATGTCCAAAAGTTCACTTAGATTCGCTGGCAAGATCATGCGGGGCCCTTCGTGAGCACCGGCTTTCGAATCTTCGACTCTCAGGGCTGCGAATCGTTGGGAAAACGCATCCCTCTCTCTCCGATGATGGAACCAGACTTCAACATGCCACGGTTCTACTCCCAGGTTTGAGGCGAAAAACGCTTTCTGGCCATCGTTGGGCAATGGCTCAGTCTGGTAGTATTCCTCTAGACGTTTCTCCACATGAGGGGAGAACTTCTTGGGTTCTGGAACATCAGAGCCAAAAGTGGTACGTCGGAGAGCTTGCTGTTGATTCATAATCATCTGTCTCGTCAGGTTTCCACTACCCCCCAAAGATGACGACGACTGTTGCCTCTGTAGTGTGGTAAGAGATGTTGTGGAATGCATCGGTCTCATGGATCGCTGCGGTAAGCTCTGAGGCGGTGATCCGGGCTGTGATGGCATATGTAAGGGCGAGAGCTGCTGAATAGGCGGGAGAGTACTCCTGGCCACAGGTCCGGTTTGCCTGCCGTACGCAGGATCCCGAAAAGCTCCCATCTGGCCAGTCAACCCCGTAAGTTCTGTAGGTACAAAGGTTGTACCCGAAACACCAGAAATGAACGATGCGCTGTCATTTTCAACCGGATAACGGTTTGCGGGAACCAAGGTCGGCACCGATTGGTTTCGGGGCTTCTGAGTCATCAAGTTATTCGATCTGATAAAAGCAACGAACGATGTTGCATGGTCTTCTGGCAGCAAGTCCCAGATAGAGACCGGCATGGAGACAAGGAGCATTGTTGAGTGACTCTTGAAAACACCCTGAACCTTGACATATTTGGCCATAGCAGGGAAGGCGCCAAGCCATTGCTCCCATGCGTTGATATCAAGCCGCTGGTCATCCTCCAACGCCAAAGAGATCATGACATGAGGAGTATCTTCGTTGGGTTCAGTAAACATGTAGTCATTCCGTGAGACAGGCGTGGTAGAATCAGCCGCTCGGCCAGTCTCATGGACCATCGCTGGTATCGGCAGTAACTCAGGAGATGGCAAGTTATCGCCGCGAGACATCCGAGACATTTCGATGCTTGGCGCTTTGTGGTTGGAAGTCATCATGAAATGCACAGGGGTCGATCGGGCCTCAAAGTATTTGCCATTGATGGTGATGGGTCGAGGATGTTTTAATCGAGCAAGAACCTCGGCGTGGAGCATAGCAGCGGAGAAGGCTCGGGCACGCCACTCCTGAAGCACTTCAATAAGGGCATTGGTGAAAGAGTAACGTCCGGGATCAGGTGCAATGGCGTCCCAGCTCGAAGCTGAGATGGTCTCAGTGATACTGGCTCCGCTGGGAAAAGTTGCACTTGCAGCCCCAGCGCAGCAATCTAACAGAATGAGAACATCTGATAGTGAGCGTTCGAGTAGAGTCTGAATTGCAGACCACCTTTTCTCGTTAGACGTGTGGTTGGATACGGGTTGAGGAGGGTCTTACTGAAGCCATGGCGAATTCGCTTCACGGGTACTGATAAAAGTTAGACGATCTTCATTACATGCTTGCGATTAGAACTACTTACGCACACCAGGTACTTTGCCGGGACTCGTCGATTCTGGCATGCCCACCGTAGTAGACAACAAACAATGTATCCTGGGACTCATGATCTTTGATCAGTTGCCCTATGCGCATCATCAACTCCAGATGGGAGTTCTCTGAAGGGATGGCAAATATGTCAGTGTTAAAGCCATAGTCCTCACTCAAACACTTTTCAAGGTCTTCCAATTCAGGAATAACGAATAGATCATCCGAGTTCCAGTGTAATAACAATGCTTGCACTTTGCTGTATCTGGCTGAGGACCTCCCACGATTAGGAAAAGCGCGGGCGGCGGACTGGAGAAGAGTTTAGAGACTGTTCTTGTGACGGATAATAGAGACTGACATCTTCAAGTCTTTGTGCGAATTGGCCGATGTGTTTGACATGAAAACTAGTACGGCTTGTGTCATGAGTTGCAGACCTGGCATAGTAATCTCCCCCACTAGATGCGGCCTAGGAAGTCGCATTTTTGTAAGTCACTGTCTTATGTTTGAACGAAGTAAAGGATCAGACACACCATAGGAGGGCCAGTGCTTCTTGAACCTGGACCTTCGACAGGTCTCCGCGAGCGTATAGTAACGTATGGTTGATGATCGGCCATGGCGTCGAATGCGCAACTTGTGAATGTGCGGGTTGTTTCGCGGACCAGCCAGAACACTCAACCGCCTCTGTCGCAACTTGACTGCTGACTCTTGGTTGTATCTACACTTTTGGTCGCTAGAATCGAGATCTGGGCAGTTCAGATGTGGTTCTATTGTCTCGCTCTCAATGTGGGTGGGTATCGTGCTCTAAAGCTACAGCGTTTGTCGGCTCACTTGGAAAAAGGCATGGTCGTATCGTACAGCGTATCGTTGGTAGTATGTATGTATCTACGGCCGAGCGTCGTTTCACGGAGGCAGCAATGAGTATGTAAGAGGGGGGAATTCTAGATTCTGTTGTGGTATTATCATCTCGACGGCAGGAGATTATGGAAACGGAGAGGGATGATCGTTGGAGCGACTTTCTTCAATTCGCGACCGAGGCGGCGTGTGGCAGACTCACCCGTCCCTTCCTCAAGTTTGAAATGGATCGAGTGTCGGTCCCCGAATAAGCTTAGCGCCGAGTCGCTGGCGGTAACCAAAGAGGAAGAGTACGAGGGGCAGGGGCCCGGGTATTCGGTGACACCAGCCAGTGCCTGATGTCCATACAATCCACGTGTACTGGATACTTGATTGCTTCTTTCAAGAGCTTTGGCCAACCACTTCAAGCTTCGGTCACCAAAACCAACGTCACCTTTTGAGGGAAGCCTCTGTCAACCAATTCACACACCGAGCGCAACTGCGAAGCGATTCATAAACAAGGCAGAAACATAAAATCTTTTTTTTATTGGCTAGCTCATAGCTCATACTCCAAACGCGATCTAAGCCTACTCTAGAGTTTATCCACACGCGACAAGCTTCCTTGAAAGCTCTCAGGTAGCTTCCATACTAAGCTGAGAGATAGTTTGTATACCTAAGCAACACACACCACAACAGGAGCAAGCATCAACTACCGCCATCATGCGTGAGCGTGTCACGTTTATCCACAACGACTATACCCTTGATCCTGAGGAGTTGGACAACCAAGAAGCTGGATTACTTGGGCCTCAAATCGAATCAGTTCGTCAGGATAAACTCACTATCCCCTTCGACGAGTTGCCTAGTGAGCTCACCGATATACTCCAAGAGTATGAGGCTCTCCATATCAGATGGGCTAGCCCTGTCAAATCCGAGACACTCGACCCTTTCACTTCACGAATTTCACCAGGGCTTCATGTCTATGTGACTCCGGAATCCCCAAACTCATGTAACCCGTACGTCGTGACCTCGAGTTGCGGCCACTTGAAACACTAACCCAATATCCTAGAACAAAACTTTGTGGCTGGCTCCAGAGGTTTGGGCCACTGGCCTGTTCAAAGCCAGAGGTGGGTTCCATAAGCCATCTAACTAACAAGATGCTCACCAGTAACAGGCTTTCACTGAGTTTAAGCAACCAGCTACCTCCACAGCCCCGAACTTCTCATTTCATCAAGCACTGGAAGATCTACACTCCTTCATAACTGTTAGCTCTCAGGAGTTCTGCCCTGAACTGGACACAGTTTGTAACGCCCGACTACGAAGCTTGTTGACCGCGACTAGCTTGGACTTATCCTTTGATAAGTCTACAAAAGCTCTTGTCGCTTCTGCACTATGGCCTCTTCGACCCCAAACCGTTGCTGTTCCTGCATCAACTGAAAGAAGGGTCGAAGTTGGCATTTTTGTCGACGACCGCTCGCAACCAAACATAAAGGAGAATGAACTTGGTGTCGCTGGCGTTCTATCCGTACTTGGCGACAAGAAAAAGCCTTCGCCAACCATCTTCACCTTCCCAGCCCGACACCGTCGAGATGAATCTGTCTTTACATCTAGATTTCTCACACCCACAGGGCTTCACCCAACTCTTCAGCTCAGCTTCAGCTCTAACAAGCTTCCAAGCGCTGAGGGCGAGTGTGCGCCATACGCATTCTTGACATTACCCAAGACCATATTTGCGGACCGTTATCAACTAGGAGACGATTTGTTCCTGGCCTCCAAGAACTTGACAGCTTTGCGATACACAACTCTACCCGTGGACTTGGAAGCACCAGCATATACCACTGAGGCATGGGGGTCCAGTATTCTGCTTGAGCTCGCGCCACCTACCTCTGAAGAAGGGCAGCCGTGGAATGTTGAGATCCCTCTTCACCTGCGATACCTTAAGCCTTCAGTGACTGGCCAAGCCGAGGCCGAGGTTCCCTATCCTGCTGTCTTCTGGGCATGCTCCTCAGGGGAGGAGACGCTGGAGAACCCATTTGATCGTCTCCATATTGGCTATGACAATCTTTTCCCTCGAGACACTGCCTTCTGGCACGTCACCCCTCAACCAGAGGGTGGGAGCAGACTTATGAACCGTGTCACCGTCCCTGTCCTTAAGCTCGAGGGCATAGATACAATCAGGTCAGGCACGGCAATTGCTGTTTCGCTAGGTTTCGCCTGGGTACTGTGGAAGCTGGTCGGTGTTATGCTGAAATTTGAAAAGCCAGTGCTCAAGAAGACCGCCCCAAAGAGGTCTAAACAAACCAAGAAAGCTTGAGGTCAAGTTTCATATTAGTTTGTTTGATCTCTGATGTAATGGTGTAATAAATGAAAGAGAGATGTAGATGAGAGTTCAACACTAATTAAATCAAGAGGACTAGTATTTTTCTCCTCTACTAACCTATCGGATTTTCGCTTATTGTCTGAAACCTGCCTGAGTACCTACCTATTCTGTATCGCCCAACGCCGACTAAACGCTGTACACGTGACGTCAGACACTCAAGATAGTAGAACGCAACTCGACCACTAGACTGATTGATAGACTTCTTAACTATCTCCATCTTCATCTCAAGTGACTCATCGACAACTCATAAAATTTTATTACTGTGAACCTAATTAAATGATATAATCTAATCAAGGTTACAAGCCACCGTGTCATCCGCTCTGTGTTATAATAATGCAAATTGATGGCTCCAACACCATCATCAGACGAGTCACCCGCGTCGACTTCTGGCCCGGGCCTCACACGAGCGCCAGACTCATCGCAAAGCAAAATTAGACGAAATGTGGCCTGTATCAGTTGTCGCGACTCAAAGGTGAGTTGTCTCGACTGAGCTGAGTTGCGTATGGTTAATGCTGAATCTGGGCTAGGTGCGGTGTCGAGCGAGTCCTGTCACGGGACAGCCATGTCAACGATGCGCCAAGTTACAAATTCCGTGCGTATACGATAGATCACATAAGAGAGTGACAAGGAGAAGGTAATAGTCTGATTGCATTACTCCGAAATGACTCTATGGTTTCATCTGAATAAGTGAGTGATATTGACAATATGTAGTAAACTCGAGCTTCTGGAACAAGAACTCAGATCCATCAAAGAAGTTGTACAGCCCAAGAGTAACGCAGAATCGCCATCAGTCTCTCAAAGAAACGGAACTGTGTTTCCTATACAACCATCCCAATTGCCTCCAGCCACAAATGGAACCGTCTTTTCGTTATCAAGCAACCTGCAAAGCCCTCAACAGCCCCAGTCATTCGTGCCATCAGCGACGTTGCTCGAAAAGACAGAGCCTACAAAACCTCGCATGTTAGGTGGTAAATTGGTGTCTGGACAGGATATTGACTGGTACTTTGAGAAGTAAGACTCCCCGGGACTGATGCTAACAGCAGTAAGGCTGACAGCTTCAGGTATTTGCAATGCTATCATCCCTATCTACCCATCTTGAGGAAGAAAGACCCAGATGAATGCTTCGAAGCATCAACAACTCTCTTCTGGACAATAATATCGACAGCTTGTCGTCGATACGCTAAAGATGAACAACTTGTAACTCTACTCCTCGATTCTCTTAACCGTGACGTTTGGGTCCTGCTTCAAGCCATCACATTAGACCTCGAGTCTATTCAGGCTCTGTTGATAATCTGCACTTGGCCATTCCCGACCATCAGGTTTGTCACTGATCCATCACCTAATTTTATTAGCAGTGCCCTCAACGCTTGCATGCTTCTCGGCCTACATACTGGACGAGGATCTCATCCTAGCTTCTTGATTGGCGGACGCCAGCACATGACATGCACAGACTATGAGGCATCTATAACGTGGGTTTTCTGTAGTATTCTCGCTCAAAGGTTTGTCTGATCTTGCAATGGCAGTGTAACCTAGATTACTGATAATGTGCAGAGTGTCTACAGGCAATGGGCATCCGCCTCCTTTTCTCCAGCATAATGACACCAAGTGCAAGGATACCATTAAAGATACTCTTGCGCCGGAGTTGCTCACCTTTTTTGAGCTACAAAAGTTTTCAAATAGGTTACATACAGCCATGTCTGCCCAGATATCGGCAAACAATGGGGTTCCTGAAACCATCGTCAAGATGTGGGAAGCTGAGTTTGAGCTTCTAAGACCCCTTGTCACCCATGTCGAAACAGGTAGGCTCCCGGTAACACCCCTACTCAGCATGTCATTGCTAAAAAAAACCTCCTTCCAGACTTCTCTCGTTTTATAATGCTAGTTGCTCAACTCGAGGTCCAGGCTTACTACTATATCTCGCCCCCTGACCAGCGTCCCAATTTCACCCTCAATACTCTCCGCACATACAATACCTCACAGAATCTTATAAACACAGCCCTCACACTCGAATCAACGTGCCAACTACTTACACACAGCCCCCACTGGGTCTATCGTGCTTTAGTCGATGCCAGCTGCATCCTCCTATCCACGCTACACTCCACTGCTGCTCCGCAACATCTCTCATCCTCAGACGCTGAAGTTGTCGCTGCGCAGGTTCTATCCCTTCTAAAAACCTGCTCAGTTCGTGACAATGACCTCCCTACACGAGGATCCATCATTCTTGAGACTTTCTGGTCTGTAAGGCATTTGCTCCCTAAGTGGGATATTCCTGTTGGTGCATGGCCGGATCGTATAGGTGCTGCCACATCGTATTGGTGTCTCACAGCCTTCAAGAATGCGTTGCAGGAGGCCAAGAATATCACAGATGGTACACAAAAAGGCATTGATGCCTTTCGTAAGTCTACAATCTTAGTTAGATGGATTGGGATTGCTCACATGTGGCATCTAGAACAAAGGTTCCCGGGGAGTAACGGTGACAATAACGAGAGCAATGTCAACGCTAACACAGACATCAATGGCCAAGAACAGACTATGGACAGTGCCATCGATCCCCTCCAGGGAATTGACTGGTCCATGATCATCGATGATTTCGGTTGGATTGGAGAGGGTCCCGTGTTTCTTGGGCCAGCATGATAGTCTAAAAAAATGTTTCAGTTTGAATGGCGACTTTCAGTCCAGATCTCTATAGAGATATTATACTTACCGTAGTGTTTACTCGGACAAACCAAACCAGATAGATCAAGTGTGAGCTATCCGGGTAACCACTCAGGACAACATCGTATAGATTGAGTCAAAGCATGTCACATCGTAGATAACAAAGATAATTTGAACTTTTGTTCCCATTGTTTATAATCAAGTAGCTAAATACATGAAACTTCAGTACAAACACCAGGGTGAAACCTTAACTCCGTCATGCAATCATCAAATTCGTCCATGAAAACAATGTCACCCATCAGTGCCCCTTCAATCACCAATTTTTACATGTAAGCGCTTAGTCGTAGATGTCTTGATCCATGTCATCCAACATCTCGTCGACTGCATCCTCTTCATCAACCATATCTTCATCCTCTCCAAGCTCACTGTCGGGATGGTTGGAAAGCACAACAATCTTGCCATCAATGAGCTCAACACGCGCGTATTCGCCATCGCGGATGTTGTTGCGCAGGATGAGAATAGCAAGACGGTTGAGAACCTCCTTCTCGATAAGACGAGAGAGAGGTCGAGCACCATAAGCCGGTGAGTACCCACTGTTGCCAAGGTAATCTTTGGCTTCTTCCGACACGTCGATATGGACCTTTCGGCCATTGTCTTCGAGTCGTTTCTGGATCTCGCCAAGCCGAATATCGACAATCTTGCGAATCTCCTTGCGTGTGAGACGGTTGAAGATGACAACCGAGTTGATGCGGTTGAGGAACTCAGGCAAGAAGTAGTTGCGTAAGGCGGTCATAACCAACTCGCGAGTACTGGGGTCGACACGACCCTCCTTCACGCCAGGTCGAACGAGGTATTCTGCACCCAGGTTAGAGGTCATAACCACGATGCAGTTCTTGGCGTCAACGACTCTGCCTTGGCCGTCAGTGATACGCCCATCGTCCATGAGCTGGAGAAGGACAGTGAGAACTTCCTTGGCAGCCTTCTCAACCTCGTCAAAGAGCAAGATTGAGAATGGCTTGCGGCGGAGAGCCTCAGTGAGCTGACCGCCGGCATCATGTCCAACGTATCCAGGAGGCGCACCAATCATGCGGCTCAGCGCATGTCTCTCCTGGTATTCAGACATATCAAAGCGGATCATTGCCTTGGCGTCGTCGAACAGAAATTCGGCCAGGGCCTTGGTCAGGAGGGTCTTTCCGGTACCCGATGGACCACAGAAAAGGAAGCTAGGCGGCTGATTGGGATTACTAAGGCCAGAACGCTGGAGTCGAATGGCGTTGGCGACAGATTGAACAGCTTCCTTCTGGCCAACAACGACCTTGCTGAGCACCTTTTCCATGTGGATGAGCTTCTCCTTCTCAGAGGTACGCAGGCGAGTGACTGGAATGCCAGTCCATCGAGCGACAATCTCGTTGATGTTATCTGCGGTAACGATGTCGGTGACCATGGCGCCACCAGAGTCCGTGGGGGCAGTAGCGTTAAGAGCGGCGTCGGCAGCAGCTTTGCGAGCCTCAAGCTCCTTGATGACAGCCTCTTGTTCGGGGATAGCACCGTACTTGAGATCGGCGGCCTTGGCGTGCTCAGAGTTATTCATGGCATCCTCGAGGCGCTTCTCGAGATCATCGAGCTTGAGCTTGGCTTGGTGAATCTCCTCACTGCGCTTGATCTCGCTCTGATACTTCTCACGGAGAGGCTGTAACTCCTCTTCAACGTTCTTAGCATCCTTTCTAGCTTGAGCAAGACGAGTCTGGGATGCCTCGTCCTTTTCCTTCTCAAGAGCCGCAATCTCGATCATAAGCTGCCTAAGCTTGCGCTCGAGAGAGTCGATAATTTCGGGCTGAGACTCTCGAGCAACACGAACCGCAGCAGCGGCCTCATCGACAAGATCGATGGCTGAGTCAGGCAGTCGTCGGGATGTAAGGTAGCGTGCAGCCAGATTAGCGGCAGCTACGAGAGCGCTGTCGAGAATAGTGACTCGGTGGTGACGGTCATATCGCTCCTTGAGACCTCGAAGGATAGAGACCGTCTCAGGGATGCTGGGTTCCTTGACAATAACCTGCTGGAATCGACGTTCGAAGGCGGCATCCTTCTCAACGTACTTACGGTATTCAGCAAGGGTAGTCGCACCGATACAGTGTAGCTGGCCACGGGCAAGCATGGGCTTGAGAAGGTTGGCAGCATCCATGCCTCCCTCACCGGACGAACCAGCTCCCATGAGAAGGTGGATTTCATCGACAAAGAGAATGATGACATCCTTTGACTCAGTAATCTCCTTCAAAACACCTTTCATTCTTTCTTCAAACTCTCCACGATACTTGCTGCCAGCGACAAGTGCACCCACGTCAAGCGAAAGGAGCTTGCATGACTTCAAGTTGTCAGGAACATCACGGTTGACAATTCGCTGTGCCAGTCCTTCAATGACTGTGGTCTTGCCTACACCGGGCTCACCGATAAGGACAGGGTTGTTCTTGGTTCGTCGAGAGAGAATTCTGACAACTCTGCGAATCTCCTCCTCTCGACCAATGACGGGGTCGATCTTCTTCTCGCGTGCCATTTCAGTCATGTCAATGGTGAACTTGGCCAGGTTCTCATTCTCCTCTTCAGTATCAGCCGTCTTGCTGTCGACTCGCTTTGTTCCCCGAATAGCCTGTACTGCTTCTTGTACCAGCTTGGGCTTGGGAATGTTGGCTTCCTTGAGAGGTCCTTGGATGGTTGAATCCTCAGAAAGAGCAGTGATGAGGTGGTCCACGCCAATGTATGTATCCTTCTGTACCTTTTGCAATTCCATGGCCTTTCTTAGCACATTGTGGAACTGAGGTGCCAAAGAGACATGCTCAGGTGGGGGGTCTTGACTTGGGAGTCGAACGAGGGTTTTCTTGAGGGCTCGATCGAAGAGTTGAGGATCGCCATGTGCTCGCTCAACGACTTGTCGGAAGAGTGTGCTTGTGGGAGGAGGACCGTTCTGTTGATCCTTTGAAGGGTCCGGGGGAGGGTCGAGCAGAGATACAGCGAGATGAACCGGCGCAAGCTGGGAGTGGCCGTATTGTTCAGCCAAGGCCATGGCATCTTCCACGGCCTTTTGGGCACGGTCTGTGAAGTCCATGCGGCTATTCATGATTGCGGTGTGGTAGTGAGAGTGTAAACGATAGTTTAAACAAGAGAATTATTGTGTATGTATAGTCGTAAAGTAGTGTTGCCCAATTATTAAAGTAGTATGTAAGAGAAGGGCGATGTCAGGTTTTCTGACTTGGGAAGATTGGGTATCGTTTGATGTTGTGGGGTATAGTTGCTTGCTGTACTTAATGTAGAGAAGAAAGAAAGTGATCCGGAAGACCGAGGATCAAGAGGTGAATTTATTCACGAATTGGGTGGATCTCATGGAATAATCAAGCCACTCCATAGAAGAATCTGGCGGAGGATATCGTCCGACATGAAATATCGAGATCTTGATGGTAGGATCCAGCAAGGTCAAGTAACATCGATACAAGCTCATGGAAACCTCCAGCACAACCCATCAGCTTCTGGCAGCTTCCGGATTCTTCGACGTCATTGGAGCAAGGTCAATCCTGGAAGGTCCATGCTGAGAGCTTATTGGCTATATTCTTCTTATCTTATCAGCTGATGTTGTCAGTCTGATCTGCTTATGCTTTTCCGTAAAGGGTAGCCGAGACCGTTGGATAGTTGCAGTTGCCAACTTCCAGGTGAAACTGCCAGAAAGACAAAAATTTCAATTGTGTGAGGGCCTTTGATACCACAGAGCCTAGACACAAACGATGGACGATAACAGTCAGGTTTGATAATTTAACTGATAAGTTAAGATGATTGTAGATCAAAACAGCCCCAAAATACAAATCGACCAACTTTTTATTCCAACCTCACGTGACCATACGCTCGTCCGTGATTGAACCGGCGATACTGGCATTTTTTCCAATCAGTCTCCAGTATCAAGGTCATCTCAACTTCACAGTGGGCGACCATGAACACGGCACCGACATCTCGACTGGGCCAATTGCCCAGCTACGTACGGATATGGGTGCGATACGGCCATTTCGGCAAGAAGAAGGACGGCAGAGGATTTCCTCCACCTGAGGGACATGGGGAGGATATCTGGGTATTTGGTCACAGAAGAACGAACCAAATTATTTACAGCTTTGATAAGACGCTAAACGTGAGTTCAATTATATAAAGTCTCTTATAAGCTGCATAGATGTGCTAACTTGATGTCGTAGGGTTTCCACGATCTTAAGCAACTCCCATTCAATGGTAAAAAGACAAAACCCGCCAAACTTCGAAAAGACTACTGGTCTCCCTTCGCGCACATCTCCTTCCCCGCCGGCCAAGGCTCCATCGGTCGGTCTGTCTTCCAAAAATTGCGCGAGTTGAAGCACCTGCACGAGGTAGCATGGGACGACGACTTTCGATATAAGAACCCCGAAGAGTTCAGTGAAGCCGATCGCAAGCGAGTGGCCAAGCAGCAGGAGAAGGGCAACATGGATCATCGCCCCATCCGAACCAGAGAGGAGCGCGGCGTTGCTCTCAACGCCCAGAAGCCAAACTCCATTGCCGACATAGCGTCTGTTCTGGGCGGCGCTGGCCGCGGCAACAAAATCGTTCTATCAGAAGATGCCGAGGGTGCTGAGAAGAAGCTCTTGGATGTCAAGGTAAACTGGGCGAACGACCAGGACAGGGAGTACGCCCAGAAGTGGTCTGGAAATGTTACACATGGTCTGTTCGAAAAGCCGAGCTACATTTCGAACGAGCCCGAGAAGAAGGAGGAGAAGGCACCGGAGCCAGTGGCTGAATGAAGAACTCAAAGAGAAGATTGAAATGAACTAAAAGCCTCAGGAGATGGCATAGAAGGTGGTTGGGTTGGAGATTGAGTCTTCCACGAACATCCAGGCCCTCCTACCTCAGTCATTATTATACGTGTTCTACCTCCATTGTATAAAATGTGTATTTTGGACTCCATCGGATTGGACCACATGGAAAGGTGTGTCATCGAGTGTCTGGAGACTTAAAAAGGACATTCCTCAGACAGTTGGCAAACGTTTGTAGATGAAGGAGCATGTATATATTCATCAGGTGGCGTGGTGCCAAAGTCGCTGTACGATAATAGCTGTACCATCAACTAAATCCAAACACTCATAAATCATTCATTACCCCGGTTTGTCACCAGGTGCAAAAGTCCAATCTGATATAGGGCGGAAACGCCAGAACAGGTCCAAACCGTAGAGGGAAAAAGAGCAACCCCTGAAAAAGCAGAGCGAGCACATAGCTAATTTAATTTAGATAGGTAGCGCAAACTGCTTCAGGTACTCGTAATCAGCTACGTTGTCCTCGACCGTCTTGCGGATAACCTTTTGCGCCTCAGGACCATACTTGGCGGTCCATTCCTTATCTTCTGACTCGGTGGTCATCGTCTTCTTTAGTTAGCAATGTCAGCCTTTTTTTCACCCTACCACAAGAAGCGCGAACGAACAGTGGATGTTGTTGCAGACCAACAGGTGGAGGGATAGTGGGGAGGGTGCGATTATAAGAAATCGTTTTAACGTACCTGGTGATGAGTACGGGGCCTCAGAGCCGAGCTCTTGATAGCATCGTTGTGCCAGCCATTCCATTTCTGGAAGGCAATGGTCGCATAGTTGCAATCTTCGTCATTCCACTCGAGCATCTCGGGCTTGAAGTCAATACCTGTCTTCTCGCAGTAGAGACGGATGGTCTTCTCGGGGTTATCGAGAAGATCATCAGCGTCGATGACAACGAGGTTGTCCTTATCGACGATGTTCTCCTTGATCAGGAAATCAAAGAAACGCACGAGCTCCTTATAACCGGCCTCATTGGGCATGAAGTCATAAAAACCAGTGACTTCATCCAGAGGCGGCACCGTGCAACGGTAGTATGAGGGGATAGCTCGGCGAGGGTGGCGGATGAGGAAGGTGAATTGGAATTGCTTCAGGACCTCTAGTGGCAAAACAGTTGGGTTGCCGGGCTCTTCCTCGCCCAGAGACGGCGCAACCTTGGTAGGCTTGTTGTCTGGGGCCATGAGGTAGTAGGCCATGTCCTTGATGAAGATTCGCTTGCCCTGGGAGGAGGTGTTAGTACATTGCATCAATTGATGAGTCTCTCTCATGGCGCGGTTCCCGCCAATGGCGAAAGGACGATAAGGATACGACATGTAACATTGATTGCATATTCATGACCATCATGTGTCAATCAAGCGTATGCTGCAGATAAAAAACTTGGCCGTGGCACATGTCTCTTGTTTGGCTTGCAGTTCCCCTCATTCGAGAAGGCGGGGGAGTGACGGGGAGTTCGGGGAGTTCGGACGATCGCATGAACCATGAGGAGAATGGAGGGGAGGTTATACTAACATCTTTGCCCGCATCCATGACCTCGTTGAGGACGTCTTTGTAGGTCTTTTGCGAGAAACCACTCTGCTCGCGAGTGGCAGTGTCGTTTCTGAAACGATCACTGAGGATCTCAGGACCATAGTAGAAGGCATCTCCAAAAGGTTCGTGAACGCTCTCTAGGATATCGCGGCGGGCCATGAAGACCTGTCAAATAACCAGAGTTAGCATCATGGCAGGGAGCGCAATCATGACAATGTCAACACTGGGAAGACGGCATGATCTTGGGGTTTCGGGGGCTCAACATACCCGCTCAAAGGCCGTAGAGCATGCACGTGGGTGCGTGGCAGTAAAGATAGGGCGGAGCGCCATTTTGGGAGAAAGAACCAAGAGGAAAAGGGAGATATAGCAGATAAGTGTTGTCGCTGCAACATTAAGCTGGAGGAAGAGCAGAAAGGATGAGAAGAAGAGTAAACCTCCAAGGACACGAAACAGCAGATCAAGCCATTAAAAGGTATTCGAGACGCCCAGCGCACAGTACCTGAGTACTCACAGAGTTTGCTGGAGAGCTTCCGGACCATCGCCCGATGGTAATTGTTGAAGCGATGGTCCGTAGGCTATTACTAACCCGGTTAGATCCTCCCACCTTGAACCTGGGCGTGTGGCCCATGAACGACCCTTAGTGGTCTCCCTTTGAGTGTTGCGCATGCGGCGTGTACGTCATGTTGGTCGATAGTGGTCTCCGCTGGGGCAACTAAGACGAGATATCTCTCAAGTATCCGAGTTTTCTCGCTCCTCATTGATGCTTTTTGAGCCCATCCCACAGTCCCCCCAAGGCTTTATCGGGCCCTTCGTTTTTTTAATCCCTGCCCTTAGTGACCTTGCAAAGCTTTCCGAAAGGTCAATTCCTCCGACTTGCCCCACGCGGCTGGGTCAAGCCTGATCCAGGCCAATCCTATGAATCTCAAAAAACGCATGTCTTTTTCCGTTGCTGTGAGTTGTGTCCTGCAAGTGCCTGAAACGGATTTAATAGCGTAAACTCAACATTGGCAAACATGTTCGCGTATCCCGGGTAGTGGGGGATACGTCTCTTTTTCATGGGTGTCACCCTGCACAAGAAGGCATCGCGGTGATGGTATACATAAGGTACCTAATGTAAATGTGAGACGTTGATAAGCGACCGATATTCCGTTTACAAAGCTTTTGTCTTTGACGTGGGACGGCCCGATGGCAGTACAGAAAATACAGTGTGATCTTCAATGCGCCCAGGCCCTGCTAAAGAAAGACCTGTCAGGGCGACATTAGAGAGCACGCAATCAGCCCCACTGGGCTCACGGGGAGTTCCCCAAAGCTTCTAAAGCTATTGTTCTGTTTCCGCGGGGAGTTCGTCGCGACTCGTCATGCTGCCTCTTGCATCGCGTGTATGCAAGAGGTGCTGCTAGTCGTCAAAGTGAATGCATGTGTATCATGGAATTGGTGAATAATTCGTTTGTTGCTTTTGGTAAAGTTATATGTATCTCTCCCAGCTTCCAAGCCACCTCCAACTCTCGGCCACACGACTGATTTTTTCCAGCGCACCGTTGACCCGGCCCTCAGGATCGACATACTTGTGACCTTCAAATTCAATGAAGAATATGTACTGGAAGGGTTTTACGAGGCTTGGTAGAGTGTTGATGCTGGTCAAGTTGATGTCGAATGTTCGGAAACAGCTCAGCACATCCGCCAAAGCGCCAGGTGATGTGTGAGGTACTGTGAAAGAGACAAGCGACTTGCTCCCCTTCTCAGCAACAGCCTTTTCAGTTTTTTCAAGGTCCTTCGGGCCTGCAGCATTTTTACCAATCACGAAGAAACGAGTCGTGTTATCCTCTCTGTCCTCAATCGATTTTCCCAGAAAATCGAGACCATGAAGTTTAGCGGCGAGCTCGCTTGAGATGGCGGCCCAGGTACCCGTCGTGTCCTTACTGACAATTTCAGCTGCCTTGCTGGTTGAGCTGACCTCGAAAATCTCGACACCCTTGAGATAGGTGGAGATGAAAGCGGTACATTGGCCAAATGCTTGGGGGTGCGAATATAAGCGTTGAATGTGCTTGAGGCTTGCCAGGGGCCTGGACCGTGGTTTTGAAGGTGACGGGTCAGTGGCTGTCGGGGTGCAAGTACCGGATCCTTCAGCAATGTCTTCGACAGCTGGCACAGGGCTCTTGTGACCAACAAGGCAATGGTGAACGTCCACGTATGTCTCGCCATCGACAGTGATATCCGGATAATGGTTCGTTCTGTCAGCCAGGTTGTCCAAGGTGAAGCTCACAGAACCATTGGTGGAGTTCTCAAACGGCACAACACCAGCTTGCACCTGGCCACTTTGGACCTGGTCAAATACGTCTTTGCCAGGAAAATCAGTACGGACATCCCGACTGCGATGTATTGACTAAAACGTACCATCGATAGTAACTGCAGGGGAGAATTCCCATGTTGACTCAGAAAAGGCCTGACGGACAGCCTATGGAGCCAGGTCAGTCAAGGCTAGTGTCATGCGGTCGTCGTTATGGGGGACAGCTATAGGATAGGCTTTACCTGATGGGTGTATGAGGCCACTGGGCCGAGGAAGCTGACAACAGGTTTGTGTTGGCTGGCCATGATGCCTTGGTTATGATCGGTGTCACCGGATCGACTGAGATTTTTGATGCGACGTCAAACGGAATTCTGGTGCAGCGTGACTACGCTTTCAGCCCCGAGTCTTAGGGTTATTCGTATACCAAGAATGGTTAGGTCTCTAGGAATGTTGTGTTGCAATGTCTTGCTTGAGAATGAGGCTGTCACCAAGCTGTGAGAATTGGGATGAGATGCAGTCAATTGGCTCAGTGACGAAACTTCTCACAGGCTATTCCGTCTTTTCTCGTCTGTGGGTGTCTTCGACTCCAGCTTTGACCCAATTGAACACCAAAGAAGGCGTTGGCGATGTCGTGATAATGTCGTGATCGTGGGGGAGGAATGAATTCCCTCCCAGTTGTGTGATGAAAAGTTGCAGGGTAGTACAGCACTAACAGTTTTTAGGCGGGCAAATACCGGGTTTGAGATAGTGAGCCACTTGGTTCATGCGGGGTTCAACTGGCCACTGCGAGATCGGTTTAACAGGAAAGGTTGGTTTTGGCTATGGTAGGAGAATAAAGCAATGAAGTTTCTGTGAAATGAGATCCTGCCTGGTATGAAACTTATATAAAGATCAGAAGCCGATATTACCATGGAGGTGAGAAAATAAAGGAGCGAAAAGGTTAAGTCATGGCGTTTTCTTTTCTTACAACGTCCATAATTGTATTATACTAGGGCAAAAGCCGACATCGCTGCCTCTATTCACCTTACAATTGAGACTACCTTAGAGAATGGCAGAAAGCTTAAGACTTTAATCTTAAATAGGGAAGGGCGATACATATGAAAGGCTTGATTTATAGTTGTAAGTATTTGAAATGTCTCCTATGAGCTCTTCTTTTAAAAGACGGTTGATTGGATTGACTTGACCTAGGGTAAGAAAGTGAAATACATAATAGTTTATATGCTGGCTTACACAAACACATAGACTTGTATCCTAAGTAAGGAAAAGACTTGAGTGAATTACATAAGACTTAAAGGTAATTTTAATATAACTTAGTAGGCTCTTAGATTAATTTAGAGGTTAAAGGTCTTTCTTCTATTAATTTAGTAATTAAGAAAAAGAATAATTATCAACTATTACTTTTATTATCGATTCTATAACCTCCGAAACCAAATAATTTACTCTTAAACATATTAGATCTGACTATTTGAATGCGCTTAATAAAGAAAGGCACGAGGAAAGTTCAACCTCATTCCAGTAATATGCTATCGATTTAGACCATGCAGCAGGCTGATATTGCAACACAGGCCACAATAAAACCTTGGCTCAGTCATAATCGAATAGAACAGTTCGTATGTAAAATTATTCTCCTATTGCTCAACTCTTCGTTCATCTCACAAATTGATCTGCGAAGCTTGCCCCGAGTCCAACAGCTTCATAGTGCTTTCGTGCCTTGTCCAACTTGCTGAAAACATCTTCCACGCCAACAGGATTGCCATCAGGGTCAATATAGATATAAGCCCCCGTGACATGAAACATGGTCACCATCTCCTTCACATCCTCCGGAACCTCGAGAGTATGAATATCTCCAGGAGGTTCAAAGGCATAACCGCCCTCTGTCGCCCACCACGGATGTTCTAGATAATGCCAGCGGCCCTTGAGAACTGTTGCGTGCACGCAACCAGCGTGGCGATGGCGCGAGAGGATACCAGATCTTCGGACTCGAAGAATGTTGACAAAGTAGCCGCCAGAAACAGAGAGAAGAAGAGGTCGGAACCAAACCTCTGGTGCTTGCGGGACCCAGAGGCGCTCGTCGCATTCAAAGTCGAAGATTCCTGGAACGACAAGGTCGTCAGGAACAGCGGGAAGACGGGGACCTCGATATGGAACAGCGGCTTGATCCGCACGTTCTTTGAGCTCTTCTTGCTTCGAGGTATTTGATATCATAGTGACGGTTTGCGTTGTAGTAGCCATCTTGGTGATTGATAAGATTTCTTCGGGTATGAGAAGGGAGAGTTAGTTTGTGTTGGTGTGAGGAGCTTAGACACAAGCTGGTGTTTTATAATCTTTTACCACCGGGCGATCAACATATTCACGGTTATGTATCTTACATTTAAAGTCTAATGCAGCAGTAGTGAGGTGATAGGAGTGCATGTCGTTAAGCCGCATGGCGCAAACTCTGGCGCCAACGGCGGCCCCAGATCGGGGGTGGAGCTTAATTGAATGAAGGTCGTATGTCGCTGACATACTTTCCAGGAATTAACTTGTATTCAATGGGAAGAAGAAGCTTTTTCTCGGTATTCGGAACTTCGCAATTAAGAAATGGAAAGCTTCCAGCCCCGTTGCTTCACCACATCTAGCCAGTCCACCTTATCTTGGTCTTCCCTCCTTGATCCATCCATTCTTCGCCGCCATACTTCATCAAGAACATCAAGACAAGCTTCAACGTTTCGGAATTTCCGCCACTTGATCATCTCGCCAAGCTTCTCTCTAATAATTTCTATCTCACTTGTCTCGTGGGCTTCTCCTCCTGCCATGAACAGGGGGAAGAGGAGGGTGCACTCCACGAGGCAACCCTCTGACACTTGTCTGCTAAGCTTACATATCGACTCTACACAAGCCTTCAGCTTCGCTTTCAAAATGTCAGAATAGCTGTTAATGTAGCGAGCAAGGGTTCGGTATAGATGAATGAGCGCCGCGTTGCGATAGGCTTCACCAAGCAACGCTAGCGGTGAATCATCGTGGCCTGAAGGGCAAACCCAACTCTGGAGTTCACTTTCTATCTTTTGTGAACGTTCAGCAAAACTATAACCGCGGGTCTGTGATCCCAATTTTGCTTCTGCGAAGTCGGCATTCAGAATGCTAGTCTCGGAGATGAGATAGAGTATCCGCGACGCAAATCCAAAATAGGGATCTGCAAGTGTGTCATCCTCTGAGGCCCAGTAGAACCCCCTTACTAATGGACGACAATCCATCGAGACACTCATCATGATATCGTGATAGGCGAAATTGCGGAGAAGCCACCTCCCCTCAAAGGTAGCCTGAACAGCTTGCTTCGGATCCACCACCGCGAGAGAACCCTCTGACTGCCAAGCTAATGCAGCAGCTGCGCCTGTCAAGTGAGGATACCAGGCATCGGTAGCCTCGGATATTGACTCCATAGAACAGAGGACCATGGTCACAGCGAGGCACATCTCAGTTGATAGCTCACTCTGCTTCATTGACTTTTGAAGCTGAGCCAAAGCATGTCCACGGTGCCTTAGCGAATCCGCTCTGAACTTCTCGTCACGTAATGCTAAGTGGGAAGAAGCCCATGCTGAGACGGCATACATCAGGGCAGGGCATTCGAACGCCATGGGAAGGATAACTTTGCGGGTAAGCTGATGAAGTTATCTAGTGATCGGTGCACATACCGGAGAGGAAACAGTTGTTTTCGAGATTCGTGGTCAGTAGAAACGCAAGTGTCACCGTGTAGTAACGCAGCATCACTCGTCTGCTTCCCACAAGATTTTTCGAGTTGGCGTCACCAGGTTCCAGCGATAGTCCAAGAGGTTGGCATAGTTGCGTGACCTCTTTGATTTGCTGGTCTATGCTCGGGGTTCTCACAGCTCTTGTCTCGGTCACTTCAGACCCTCCCGTTGCCGCCCCAGGTGACGGTAGCACTGAGCGTGGAGGCTCACGCTTGCATACTAGGTTGAGACGCAAACAGTGACTGCAGATAGGGTAAAGCTGATCACATTTCTTCTTTCTGGGATTGATTAGCATAGCGACCTAAATGATGCATGAGAACCTTGACATACCGTTGACGACATGTTAGACATCCACGCTTCTGTCGAGTGTAGCCAACTCTCCGAGTTGAAGCCGAAGGTGTGGTTCTAAGTGATTCGTTCATGGGACTCAAAATCTTGATCCGATTCTACTCAGGAGCCCGAGTAAGCTTTGAAATGACCAAGAGCGCTATGGGCGGTGATATGAAGGAAGAGAATTAGAGAGGAAGATTGAAGATTGAAAGTTTCAGGCCACATCCCGTAATCAACGACACTCATGCACGGCGCTATGGGCGGGAGAGGCTAATCTGAAGATTGCAACGTGGGGTTATGCGGGGAACCTAATCCTGGGGTAGATCGTTGGCCGAGCTTGTTAGTGCAGATATCGAATAAACGACGAGTCAGAAAGGAGCAGGCACAAGGGAAGATGTTGTAATGCTGCAAAATTGATTGAAGTTGTTAGCTATCTTGGTGGCTATAGCCATGGGCCGCACCAATCTCTTTTATCAAAAGGCTAGGGACCATAGAGCTTAGGCAGACTGATAGCCATTTACAATACCTGAATGGACATCGGGTTGGATTTTAATGAACTTTTACTGCAACTAATGAACTATCTATTTTGAAGCATGATTAGAGTCGCGCTCCTTGAATATCAATAACCTCAGACATCACAGTCTGAATAGATTCCCGTAGAATACCAACCATCCGCCCCAATTCAGACTCAGTTACCACATATGGGGGAGACATTATGACATGATCAACATGGATATCCCCAGTTTCACCCAGGTTTCCCAAAATATTCAAGCCCAGATCAAGCGCCTTGTCCACGATCTGGTGGCACAGTCTCATATTTGCCGGGAAGGGTGTTTTGGTGCGACGATCTTGAACGAACTCAACAGCCCAAAAAAGACCACGCCCACGGATATCGCCGACAAATTGCATATGTCCAAGATTTGTTCTCAGGAGCCTCTCCAAGACTTTACCCATTTCTTGGACGTTGGTGAGAATATCTTCATCACGAATGATGCGCTGAGCCTCAAGGGCTGCAGCGCAAGCCACTGGATGAGCCTGTTGAGAAAGTCAGCCAGTTCCAAGTCAACTTCTTGTCATATAAAGCTCACCTGAAATGTGTGTCCATGGGCTAATCCCCGAGATCCGTCCGCGAGGGCGTCGAAAATCTTATTGCGAAGCAACACGCCAGATAGGGGAACAAAACCTCCACCAAGAGCTTTGCCTATCATCTGAATATCAGGCCCTGAAATGCCCTCCTGCTCCCAAGCATGCATAGTGCCGGTTTTCCCCATACCGCACATAATCTAAGATGTATTAGCAAATATGGTTATCGGTACAATCAATAGTAACTCACTTCATCTAAGATCAAGAGGACATCATGTTTGTCGCAAATCTCTCGGACAGCCACGAAGTATCCAGGTACAGCAGGAAGGCAACCTAGAGTAGTTCCACTGACAGTCTCAGCCACAAATGCAGAAACGTTCTCCGGTCCAATACGGAGAATCTCTGCCTCAAGTTGATCTGCCAGACGCTTGACATAATCTTCGTCGGATTCGTTTCCCTTCAGCCTATAAGCGAAGCAGGGGTCAACGAAGCTTACATTATGAGAGAGCCAGTGGCGGTACATGGCCCTTCGAGATTTGTGGCCAGAAACACAGAGTGCTCCAACCGTGTTTCCATGATAGCTCTGTTTTCTTGCGATGACATGGTGCTTCTGGGGCATTCCTCGCTCGTGCCAGTATTGTGTTGCGAGCTTGATAGCAGCATCAGTGGCTTCGCTTCCAGAGTTGACGAATATGGCCTTGGACAGGCCACCGGGTTGCCCTTGCAGAAGCATCGACGCAAGCTCCTCGGTTACATCGCAAGTGAAACGTGCGCCAGAGTAGAGATAAGGAAGCTGGTTCATCTGGTTCGCGACCACTTCAGCAATCTCTGGACGTCCAAAGCCGAGACATGATACGGCTGGTCCGGCTGAAGCATCAAGGATTTCACGGCCAGACTCGAGAAAGAGAGATACACCTGAGGCAGAAACGACTCTTTCAGGTTGATCAGCGAATGAGCGATGGAGAATGTTTGAGTTGGAGACAAAAGGGTGAGCCATCTTGGATAGTTGAGATTTACGGTCTGTTGCTAGATGCCAGATCTGAATCTTTGAGAGCTAGGTTTGCTAGATATATTCGTCATATCATCAACTCTCTTTCCGCCCTACTTGATATCTAGGATACTTTAGGCGACTTAGTATCAGCCTCCGAACCAGTCCCGAACTTAACTATCATGAAGCCCCCTCATGAAATCCCGCCGTTGGCGCCGGGTGAGCTTAATAGCGGCGCCAACGGCGTGGAAAGGCCCAGACTATCCACTACTGATAGACAAGGTTTCTCCGCACTTCCCCGCGCTGCAAGCCTCCATATACCGGCGATAGGTAAATTGATAGCCGTGTAAGTGAAGACTTCCATGTTGCTGGTAGTCGTGTCAAACCAAGATGAGGGACACCTCTCGCTATCGACTTGGCCTATGTTATTCATGAAGATACCTACCTCAGTAGTTTTATTAGTGCATCGTGACTTCCTATTGGTCAAGGTACCCTCCTTCCATGCCATGGTCGCTTGGGGCGACTTGTGTGGTAGGTAGTGGTATGGGCGTTCTTGCTTAATATAAAATGAGCAAGAAGGTTACCTTTTCCATATCTTGCAAAACACTCTTGTTCTCTTCTTAAATCTCTATTCGACCTTGTCTCGTTGGTGCATCGATATTCATTCCAGCCATGTCAGAGTCTATCCTCCCGGGTCCGGGGCCCCATCCTCTCAAAGCCAGGGATGAGCAAGAAAAGTCCCCAAGTCATCTTGGCGAAGTTGAAACCATTCGAAATGGTAGCTCCGATCCCGAAAGAAACGAAGATACACACCGTGGCTTCAAGCCTCGGCACTCTCAGATGATAGCCATAGGAGGTGCCATTGGAACTTCACTGTTCCTAGGAACCGCCCAGGTTCTTCGCATTGGCGGTCCTCTGTTCCTTCTGATTTCGTATGGAGTTTTGTCTATACTCGTCTACTGCATCGTCACTGGAATCGCCGAGATTGCAACTTATCTCCCTGTTCCGGGAGGCACTATGGCCTACTACGGACACAAATATGTGTCTCGCAGCATGGGCTTTGCAATGGGATATCTCTACTGGTACTCACTTGGCATCTTGATCCCCTATGAACTCGTCGCTTCTACACTTCTCATCAACTATTGGGGCACTGCGGTTAATGGCGCCGTGTGGATCACCATCATATATGTTGTCATCGTCATTGTGAACCTCTTCCCGGTCAGAGTCTTTGGAGAGTGCGAGTTTTGGAGCGCAGGCATGAAAGTTCTCCTCATCTTAGGCCTCATCTTTCTCTCCATTGTGCTGTTTTTCGGGGGAGGCCCTGATCAAGATGCTATCTACTTTCGATACTGGAAAGACCCCGGTCCAGTGAACACTTATATCGTGGAGGGCGATGCCGGACGACTCGTTGCACTACTTCAGTCTTTTGTTCTAGCATCCTTCGCATTCGTCTTGGCTCCTGAACAACTCATCGTGACAGCGGGCGAGATGCAATCGCCACGCTATAACCTCCCCCGAGCCGCTCGACGATACATTTGGCGCCTGATCGTTCTTTTCATGCCCTCCGTCCTCGGAATTGGTGTAATCTGCGCATCAAATGACCCCCGACTTGCAGCACCTGGGACTGCGCGCTCACCTTTCATTATTGCCATCAAGAACGCCAGCATCCCTGTCCTGGATAGCATCGTCAATGCACTTATCCTCCTTTCAGCGATCACGGCTGCGAACGCATTCCTCTACTCTGCCTCTCGGAATCTTTATTCACTTGCAAAGGCCGGAAATGCACCTGCAATATTCAAGAGATGTAATAGATATGGCCTTCCATATTATGCAGTATTGATCACTGCCTCCCTCGGATGCCTAGCATACCTCAGCCTGTCAAATAGTAGCCTGACGGTCTTCAACTGGCTAATCAATCTCACCAATACCTCCGGCTATATTAGTTGGATCTGCTGTGGTATAATTTATGTGAGATACCGCAAAGCCATCACTCACCATAAGTTGGAGTCCCCATATCGCTCCCGCCTCCAGCCGTGGGGCATGTACTTCGGAGTCATTGTCTCCATCATTCTTTTACTCATCAACGGATTCACTGTCTTCTTTTCTTTACAATGGTCAGTGGGTGATTTTTTCACGGCTTACATCGGCATCCCTGCGTTTCTGCTCATCTACTTTGGCCACCGACTGTATCATCGGGGAGATGGGTGGGTTAGAAATCCTGAAGATGTTGATATGTATGAAGGGATGGATGAAGTACTGGCTGCAGAAAGACCACCGCCCGTTAGGGGCAACATCACTCGAAGACTGTGGGCCTCGGTAGAATAATCTTCGAAGATCTGCCCTGGGCCTGCTGCATAGTCCTCAGGGAGCAAGAAAACTTCTAACCCTAAGCTTGGATGCCAAAAATAAGTAGTCTAAAGGTCTCCTAAGTCAAATCTAAGTTTAAATGAGTATTTTTGTCATTTAGAAAAGAGGTCTCAAGTCGTTCTGCCTCCCCTTGATAGTCTAAATCGATATTACATTACTGGAACAAGGTTTATCTTTCCCCATGACTTTCTTTATCGAGCGTATTAGAACAGTTAGATATATTTGAGAGTAAATAGTTCAGCCTTCAGGGGTTATAGAATCGACAGGCAATAGCTTATTGTTATTCTTCTCGTTGATTACCAGTCCAACAGATGAAAGACTACGTACCTCTAATTAAGATACCAAGAATACTTAATCTAAGGCCCTACTAAGTTATACCAAACTAACCTAACTCTTATTAAATTTACCTTAGTCTTTTTATTTTTTAGGATACAAGGCTTAAATTTTCTTGCCTCCCTTGGATCTATGCATTGACCGTTTTGTCCAACTGCAAATGCACCGTATATTGAAGGACCCCCTTCAATGTTCGAACAATGCTGGTGAAGATGGATATGCCGAAGGTGATATGAGGGAGATGATGATATGCTGGCTATTAAGGCTAACTATATCATTGATGCTTGTGCATAGTACCCGCAGGGAGGTAAACAGGCGGGATGATACTGATAGCATGATACATACAGGCATTGCAAACAAATCGATCGGATCGTAGGGCCGGGTGACAATTGATGTCCATGTGCGCCTGATAATCCTTGACAACCTCCTTATAACCTTGGTCCCTATACGTCGCATTGACTCCTGA